ATGTGGGTGATAGAAGTGATAGTGGCTTTGGTGGTCCAGGAAGTGACGTTTGTTCATTTGTTCTCCACTGTGTTGAAGGAGAACACTATGCTGTCATAAATAACACTCATTTTAGTAAGCAGCAACCCAAGATAACTTGACAACCTACTGTTTTTAATGATTCCACGACCCTTTGTGAAGAATGGGTTTACTAACCTCAGTGTGTTTGCCAAACTCTTATTTAACAAAAGTAGTGCAAGAAACGAAGATAAACTTTTGCCCAATGTCTCAAACACTGGCCAGAGCAATGCAGCTGACATTGCAGATCAGGAATTGCTGACATTCAGACATTCACATCCTTATAAGACTCATATTCTTGTTTTACTATCTAACTTATTTACATAGCCCCTTAATGAAGGTGTCTTTTTGATTTTTGAAAAATAACTAATTTAACATATAACAATGCCTCAGTAGTGATTATCTTGAAAAAGCAATCTATTTTATGGAGATTCAGGGATTCAGTCAATGTTAATTACCAGCCGCTGTTTACTTAGGAGACAAGGGAGCTGATAAAGATATACAGTACCAGGTCTTTTACAGATTTGACTAACTGAACACTACAGTAACAGCAGTGTGGTTGATAACTAGATTGAAACGGTCCACAACGGATTACAACAATAACAATAATGGGGTTTTTAACACTATTCAAGCACATGTCTTGAAAATCTGAGTCTGGTTTCAGCAAGAAGCCTTGAAGGTAGCCAGACATAACAGCCTTTGTTTTATTCACTGCTCATTCTTTAAGATATACAGTATCTGCAATTGCATTCATAAAATTAATCAACTTGAAACAAAAAGGATGCTGTCATGAAAATATTTTCAGTTAGCCTTTTATCATCATCAATCAGAACAAACTGGGCTAGACTGAGGCATCAAATCACATGAGCACATCTTGTGCCATGGCTTGTTGAAAAACAAAGGACTTTCTTTTTTTTTTTTCAAATACATTAAGAAATAAGGTTATTAATAGACCTCAATTGGTGTTGTAAAACTGTGTCAAAGATGGAACATGCCTTTTAGAAGCTACTCTAGACAGCTACCTCTAAACAATTTAATCCATGAAATCTTATAGTAGTCCTTTCAGGATCTGAAGATTTTTCAGCTTCTTGAACAGGATAAAATGAGCTCACGCCTTCTCAAATAGCTGTACAAGCTTAGGCTTGTTGGGGTCTTCAACTTTTTCCTCACTTTAATAGAAATGTGGGCTATCAAACATGTATTCATCATCTATTACTATCACTTCTCGAGCCTAGTCAGTACCCTGATGGGAGAACTCCTGAGAAAAACGAAGGTTGCTGCTGGAAGAGGTGTTAGTGGGGCCAGCAGGGGGCACTCACCCTGCAGTCCATGTGGGTCGTAATGCCCCAGTATAGTGACGGGGACACTATACTGTAAACAGGTCCCGTCCTTTGGATGAGACGTAAAACTGAGGTCCTGACTCTCTGTGGTCATTAAAAATCCCAGGGTGTTTCTCGAAAAGAGTAGGGCTGTAACCCCGGCATCCTGGCCAAATTTCCCATTGGCCCTTACCAATCATGGCCTCCTAAAAATCCCCATCTATGAATTGGCTTCATTACTCTGCTCTCCTCCCCACTGATAGCTGATGTGTCGTGAGTGTTCTGGCGCACTATGGCTGCCGTCGCATCATCCAGGTGGGGGCTACACATTGGTGGTGGTGGAGGTGAGTCCCCATCACCAGTAAAGCGCTATATAACTGTAAGCAATTATTATTATTAATTACCATCAGATTCCTGTGTGAGTCACCCTCACTCCAGATTACGCAGTGGAAGGCAACCAAGAGAGCAGCTGGAGAAGTCCGGTGTCCCTGTGACCTCACTTATTTGGTACCTGGGAGTCCACATCACAGCAGAAACCAGCCTTCCTTCCTTAACAGCAGAACAGTTCAGTTAAACACTGAAACTCAGATCAAGGTCCCTGCAGTCCCATTTTGCCTCTCGACATGGTCAGCATTATTGGTAGATCATACTACACAGATTTATTGGAGACACATTTAATTTTAAGCCAAGGAAAATCTGTGCAAGCACAGAACATTTCCTGACACCCCAAAATGTTTCTTTTAATAGAAAGAAGGGCTTGGTACATGTCAAAACAGTTGCCAGTTGTCCAAAATTGTATTGTATAGTGGCTTCCAGTCCTGGTCCAAGGAGACCCTTGTATCTACTGGAGAGCAGACAAGAAATCATCAATCAAATTTGAGAAATGCTTTAAATTTGCTTTAGTCCCTTAAAGATTAAAATGGGACTAAAATGTAATTGTCATCAACCCCGTACCAATTTCAGGGTATGGGAGTATTTGATTTAGTCTCACCTCTTTTCAAGTCTTGACAAGCTGAGGAGAATCTGCATAACATTCTGTGTGCTGAAGCTGAGGAACAATAATCATGCAGTCAAGTATTTTGAAGAATAAGAACTGAATGCAGAAACAGGAAAACAAATGTCTAAACAAGCATCAATTAGCTCAGCTAGAATGAAAAGAAGAAAGTCACAGTTCACCCGAACCACAGTCAGAAAGAATATGAAGCACCCCCAACAGAGGTGATTTCAAACCAGAACTGGACAGTACAAAATTCAAATTTGCAGCTGGCAAAGGTGGTCTTTCTGCAGCACAGAGCACATCCTCTAAGCAATGCAAGCACTGCACACAATTCTCAACCACCACAGCATCACAAGGTAGCTGCAGACATGAATACTTTGAATACTCAGGTGACTTCCATGTCAGAGGCATTTGTAACCTGTTCCTTAAAGACCGTATTATGCTTTTTGAGTACAATCACAGTTTCAAGATAAAACATCAGGTTTGAAAGGGTTTATAGCATTAAACATGAAATATGGCTACTTTATTAGGCTCACAGAGGTACAATTTGGTTGAGCTCTTTCATTTATTAATGTTCAAGAGAGCAAAGTCAAAGGAAGGTGTTGCACAGTCAGTAATAAAAGAAAATTATGATTTTCCTTTGAATATAAGCATTTCTTTTGATTTATGTGCCACAAAAAACATTTCTACTGATAATTATTCAAATCCCTTTATCTGTCCTACAGTTTCATATCTTAAGATGAATACCAAAGAGAAACAATTCACTAAAAACACAACATGAACTGTGCATAATAATGTCCTTAAGCTTTACTCCAAACTTTCTTCACACTCTTTCATATGTGCTTGAGTGTAGATGTCTTCTATAATGGATGCATTTCAAGAAATTGTCTGCAGTCTGTGACCTTCATCTTTGGAAAAACACAATGGATTAAATTATGGTTATACTGCCATCTAGTGTTCACAATGTTTTCCTAACACTACATCACGTAATCTTTCCAGAGTTTCAAAACTAAACCTCTTTTCTTACATATCGAGCAGCTTTTGTTGGCTGCATTGCTCATAGTGCCTTCTAACAAAATGTGGAAGTTCTGTGAATCCAGGCCATGGATAAATGATACATACTCTTTGCATATATCTAAACAGGACTTTCTTCCATTTTCTAACTGCTTTATGCCATTGACAGTCACAGGCAAGGTAGGATACCCCTTGGATGGGAAGCCAGTCCATCACAGGGCACACAATGCCAGTTTCACGGGAAGCAAATTAACCTACCAGTATGTCTATGGACTGTAGGAGTAAGCTAAAGCACCCAGTCATCACGGGGAGAACATAAAAGCTCCACACACATAGCACCCCAGGAAGTGAACCCAGGGCCACAGCTCTGCGAGGCAGCAATGCCAACCAGTAAACTACCATGCTGCCCTAACAGCAAATCATGCTACCCAAATGTCATAGGCCATTTGGCTTTAAGCTAATAGGTAACAAATCAGCATCCGATAGATCATCCATGAGGAGTGGAATTCATGGTAATGGAGCCCAACACCTCCACTCAAAAAGCTAGAGGCACCAAAGGAGCTTCTGAGCATATTTCAAAAATTAGAACAGGAGTCTATGCGTTTAAAGAAGTTATTACCTGGTACTAGGGGACCATTATGCTGGTTTTCAATTTACCTGATATCTAAATCACCAGTGCATATTTGATCACAATTATGGACTTCTACAGTTATCTTGACTTACTTACCCTCATTTCTGACTTGATATGCAATATAAGATCAATACTGTAAAATGGAATTTATCAAACATTCCCACAGTTTTTTTCCTTGTGTTTGTAATTTGTTTTAATGAGGTATGAATTTTTGAGTTTCAGAACTCTTCTCCATATGAAGGAAGACAAGGAGTTCTGAAACTCAAAAATTCTTACCTCATTAAAACAGATTACAAACACCGTTAAAAAAAAATGTAAGAGTTAAAAACAAATTTTAAAATACGGGCCTAAATAAACCAAAATAAGCCTGTAATTAAGATTTTGGCTGGAGTAAAAAACAGAAAACAGATCTGCCCTGTCCAGGGTTGGGAACAACTGGTTTATTATGCTAGTGCAATCAAGGCAGCCCATTCAGAATAAAACAAGACTTTGAGGTTGGATTCAGTTTGTTTATTTTAGATGGAAAAAAAACATTCAGACAACACTAATTTGGTCTGTACAAAAAAAAATCTATAATACAAACTGTACATTTTGAATGCACACAAATGAAAAGGCAGGACGTCATAGAAGAAACAAAAATAATGAAAGATTACTGAAAATCATTTCCTTCCCAAACGGGTCTTTTTCATATACATTATATACAGATATTAAATAAAGATATTTCTTTCCGGTCACTTTTCTTGGTACTGCATGGGAAACAAGAACTGTAAACACTGGAGTTCTGATGTTTCAAGGCCAAACAGATCTTCCGTTGAAGGGCAACAGACACCATGGTTTGGGGTAGCTAAGAGCAAGCACACTTAGCTTTCTAATGAAATGAGGTTTATGTCATCTCCAAATCAATGGCTGAGCTTCAGGCTGTCACTACCTGCTTCTTCCCTGCAGTGTATTTTTTCCAGGAATGAAGGTTTGGGATCAGTGAGGATTCAATGAAACCAAAGAGAAGGTGTGATTTGTTTGGGGTCCCCCTTCCCCTACCTCTGAATGGGGGAAGGTGCATGAATATTCCAAGCGGCTTGTCTCAAAAGGTAGAAAACTTTACTCAAGCCCTTCATATTGAAAGCAGCACCTCTTCTACAAGGCCAGGTCCTAAAGAGGCAAGATTACCAAGGTCCCGAAGAACAGACAGTTTATTCCATTTCTGTGAACCGTGCAAACATGGCTTTACGGACAGCATCCTTGTAGGAATCTGATGCAGACACACCATATGAACTGCCCTTTGTCCCTAGTCCGGCACCTTTCATCCTTAACTGTGTCTGGAGGAGAAAACAGAACAGTGACCTTTGGAACCTGCACATACGAAACTATGGGTCTCAAAGACCTGCTTCGAACATTTGTAACCCCTAAATAATGCACTGAATGTAGCCAAAGTCCAAAACTATATCAATAGAGACACACAAGCAACATTTTTGATGGAAACAAGGTGACATTTGTGCAATAAAACAAATTTATATTAGTAACCCCCCACGTTTGTCTACCTGCCTTTTTATTAGTTCGTGACCTGATGCAATGTCCTAATTAAAAAGTATGTAGAAGTGTTTTAACAAGAAATTCAGATAGTTGAATGGGATTATAGAGATTTGTATGGTGGTGTTTAGAGGAATTTGACAAAGAAAATTTGAATATGATGCTATACTTACTTTCTCACAGCTTATATAGAAATCACATTTAACTGTTAAAATTTTATACATGAGGCACCTTTCAAAAATTACATTGAAAGATCAAAAGATGTGCAAGTCACAAGCAATGGCAGTTTTAAACATTTTAAAGAAGTTTAATGGTTTATGAACATTACAGACCATGTTACTCATTCTGAAATGAGATTCTGTAGTGAAAATAGAATGGCTAGAAAGGAAGACCTTTTCATTTTTTGCTCTTAATTGGTTTGCATGTTGATGAGGTGTGAGTTTCATATTGATCAGAGTGGCAACATGAGGACATCAACTCAAGTAGTTCATGTGACCAATTCTTTGAAATGCAAATTTTGGTTAAACATGGACTTACCTCAATGGGAGCAGTGATGCCCTGCTGGTTCCTCCCCAGACCCTTCCCTTCCTTCCATCCCATGGCCTGCAGCATTTTGCTACCAATGTTGTCACTGTTCAGGCCATCTTTTGTGGGCTGTTCATAGTTTCTGCAAGATCATTAACATTTCAGCTATTATTTTCAAGTGTGAAATCAAAGGACGTGCAAATTTATAATCAATACACTAATTTATAGCACCTTTAAAAGTGGCTTCTCAAAGCATTTTACAGACAAAAACAAAATACACAATAACAGGAGACAGTAGATAGGAATATAGAGTACAGTAAAAAGCCAAGGGGCACACAGGATCAGTTAAATAAAAGCACTTCTAAAAAAGAAGATTCAGAGTCTAGATTTTAAAGGGCTCAGGGAAGGTAACAGATATCTTCAGGAATAGATCCAGAGCTTTGGGGTGTAACCGGAGAAAGCCCTCTGACCCACAGAGTGCAAACGACCTTGGAGGACAAACAGGAGACCAGAATAACACAATGGTTGTGAAGTGGGAAGTAGGATGCTAGTAACTCAGTTACTGAGGTGCCTTGTAGGTGAACATGTTTTTTTTTTATTAACACGAAAACTGACAAGAAGCCAGTGCAAGGACTCTGGGATAATGGACTCCAGGAGTAATCTAATCACTTGAACGAGACCTAGTCAGGATTCAGCCTGCCGAATTTAAGTCTTTTTGCTGACATTTATACTCACACTGTAGGAGGTTCATAGTATTTTTTCTTTTTAGGTTCTGGGGGTTCTGGAATGCCATATTTTTCCCTTCTTTCGGCAGCTCTGTCTCTGTACTTCATCTGAAAACAAAATTCAAATGCGATTCAAAACTCAGGTTCATTATGAAAGTCACAACAAGAAGTGGTATTCATCCCTAAACTGCTCGTTCTTAGAGCTTCATTATAAATTATACTATAATAAAAGACAAATAATTTAAAGTACACCAACCACAATCAGGTTTTGTGCTAGAAGATCCAATACTGGGTAACTGCAAGCAGAAATAGAATAACTAATGGTCCTTACCTCTGTCTCTTTTAGCTCCAATGCCTCCAGTTCTGATTCTGACATTCTTGTTCTTTTGTAAACTTCCATGTTTTGCTGTTGAAATAAGCAGAGAAGACAGAAAGTAAGAATCTGCTATAAAAGAAAACAGTCATTTGAAATGGCAATGTGTAACATTTCCAAGCTAACCAATACTTCCATAAGAAAATATCCTGATGAAACGAACAGTTCTCAAATTAAAAACAATTTGCATAAAATGGAAGTGCACATAGATATTCTCTCCCACACACCTGATTAAGATGGGATAACAGTGCAAAAAATACATTTTGACCCCAAATGTCTTTTGTTTTTACCCTGGGTACCTCAAACCTCCACCATACCTTATGTAACTCAGAAAGCTGCTGGTGCCTGAGTAGAGCCTCTTTATTAGGGAACTGTCTCCGACAAAGCAGACAGGCCATCTTCTTCCAATCTGTGAGCTTGTCTGCTCCCTCCTCACCCTTCTCAGGCGGCTCCATCTCCTCTGTGTCACTGTCTCCACTGTACGCAGCCACCAGCCCACACTAACAAAAACATTATCCTTTCACTGAAGTACATCATACAATGCTACTATAAAATATACCCATCACCAATGTATTTTTTCACCCTAGTTGAAAGTCAGTTCTCAATTCTTTATCACAAGCATGAATCTTGCACATAATCTGACATCTGACATTTAATAGGACAAATTAATCACTCCTAAAAGTTGAAATCCATTTCGGCAAGATCCCTCCACCTTTAAAAAACATGATCGTAAATCCCCAAAATATTAATTCTTAGGTATTAAAACTGGAACCTGCACTGCACCGTTTACTAGCAATTATTTTTTTTAATGAGCATTAAACAACAAAATCAATCAAGTGCACAATGTGAAAGCACAATATACCCAAAATAAATACTAGAACACTATGAAAAGGTTATCCAGTGCCTTTTCTATTAGACTGCAAGGTATTCCTACCTTCAAAGGATTTTCCTCTTCTCCACTCTTTGCAAGTTCAGACATCAGCTGCTGCTTCTCAGACACAACACCCTGCTGAAAAAAAAAAGTGGTTTATATTATTCTTTGCACCTTTTCCTAAAAAAATAAAAAGAATTCAGATTGTTTTCAAAATAACAAATTCAAACAAAAAAAAGTAAATTACAAAGTTCAACCTAAAGAAGTTTTCTATTCAGAAGCGCGTTATTGAGTGCCACTTTCACATGATATTCCATTCACTCTGCTTCTTAACACGCCTATACCTTTTTCTCAAAGAGGGCAAAGCCTGCATCTGCTGCAGCCGATTCCTTTTTCTCCTCATCCTTGTTTTGGTTAATAGGTTGAAAGCTGTTCTTAAAGTTTTCCTTTTGTTTGTTCAAGCTCTTTGCCCAACGTTCCATATCCTTGGCAATCTGCATGGGAAAAAAAGGGAAACATTCCAGTTTGTAATATGCAGCACCTTGACCCATTATTTGGTCCTGTGGCCCAATCTCGATTAACAGATTTTTACTAAGACATTTTCTAACACTATTCATTTTTACATTGATTATCTAATTAGATGCCCATCTATGCCTACAAATTCCTTTAAGAACAGCAGCTCTTCATTATTTTATTCTGGAGAAACAAAAAACAGATTCTTACTTGTTGGGCAGTTTTGCTCTTAGGTTTTTCTTTCTTTTCTTTGGTTTCCTTGTTTGTTGCAGGAGTTGAGGTATTTGTCTGTGCAGCAGGCTGTGCCTCCGTAGCAGGTACATAAGTTTGTTTCTCACTGTCCCAGTACAGGTACTGTTGCGTCTGCGAGTTGTAATAGTACTAAGGAGAAAGAATACAATTTTTTACCTCCTACTATTTACAATTACAAGGGTGGCCAACTGTATCCAGGGCAGTTGTACCGATATATTTTGCCCATTGTGCAAGCACTTTTAACAACTTTGAAATTAATACATGACACCATTTATAATATTCAGCCCTACTGTAACTTACAATATACAAAGTATAAAACAATATACCTGCTACTTGGTCAATGATGGACACAAGAAACAAACCATAAACAATGCAATCGCACTAAACTGTGAAATTAAACATTTAAGGGATCAAGAAATTAAGTTGTACATTAACATGCATGTATAGTCTCTAAAGATGTGACAACTTAAAATGCTTAAGAAAAAGAGATAAGTAAAAAAGGATGTGGAAAATCAATGACACTATATAAAAATACACAATGTGAACCACAACTTAATAAAAAAGTGATTTTTGTCACCCTCTTTGGTGCGACATATCCATGATAAAATATTAAGCTGTAATAGTCATTCCTTCAATTGGTAGGTAAAGTCAAATTAATTCAAGCGACACTGCAATGCAGATGAATAAAATATTGTCTGGATATTGAGATAAAAAGCTTGTTTCTCTCTATGTCTCATTAGTTTTCAAACCTTTAAATTTAAATGTCTTTCACCACCTAGTGATTATTTGTCAACAAATAACTTTATCTGTTTTACATAAAGCATTGCAAAGAAACTGGTTAGTCAGTGAAGCCAGAAATAGTTAGGTCAACTGTGAATGGGAAGGTTATCATGTCTCAGTTTTTTTAAACCTAGAGAAACAACTTCCACTCTTATGATGAATGAAGTCTGACAGCTGGAATGTCTGAATATTTTATTTTTCACACCACTTTCAATTATCATTCTTTCATTGATATTTCAAAATCCTTTTCACTGTATACTTGATGTAGTTTGTAGGATGGTGAGATTTTATAAGCAATAGGTTTTTATGACCTTTGTGATCCATGGGGAAAAAATGTTACGAAAATTGAGAACTCTTGACACTTTGAAGAAATTTTTTTTTTTACCATGGAGGCATGTTCAATTTTACTCTGACATATTCAGTAGCTGGTTTAAATGAACATCTTTAAAAGACGTTCTTCAACAGGAGCTGAACCAAGTCCAGATTTTTCCTGTGCTTTCATGCAGTGTTTAATAAATAAAAAAAGCTTCAAATACAGCAAAGGTTAATGAGATACCTGGGTGTTCGGATCATAATAAAGTCCTGTCTGTGGGTCATAATAGTATCCTGATGATTCATTGTATTGGTAAGTGGATGTATCTGGAGCAGCTGGAAAAAAACAACTCAAGTCACAAACAAATCCCAATAACAATTTGAAAAAAAGTTGACACCCTAGGCTTAACTCAACAAGGTACTCCAATGCAATTTCAGAGTGTGATCAAAACATTTGCATCAAACCAATAGATTTTCTATTTTGCATTTCCATCTCTACAAATGTATCTTTCTGCAATTTTACTAAAGTTTAAGACTTATACCCCGTTTTTAAGAGCCAACCCCAACAATATTTGGGTGTCCATGTAATACTGTACACCTCTCAATTGAAGCTGACTACAGTAACTCCGCTACTGCCACAAGTGTGAATTCAGGAACTGTGATCCCTGGGGCTTACCACATTTGCTGTCATCTGCAGCAGTCACTGCTGTTGCTGTTGCTGCTGCTGCTGCTGCTGCAGTAGTTGTTGTGGCTGCAGCAGTTGTGGACTGAGAAGCAACCTCAGTTTGTGGAGTTGCCTGAGGTGCCTGTAAAACACAACAAAAATCAGACAAGCCTTAAATAACTAAGAAGCCTTGGTTAACTTAAAAGTCAAGTTAAGCTGCTACTCATACTGACAATGTACACCTGTATTTCTTTTTACGAACGTTTTCTTATCAAAATTGAGTACTAAGAAGAATGCGAATTTCGAAACCTCTGCTAAACGCAGAGTGAAGACGAAGGCATCATATGACTCACTTCCTACCGAGCACACGCGTCACATTTTTTCATTAATATGAGGACCCAGTTAGTGAAACACTTTGCCAGCCTTCCTTCTCTTTCTCAGTGCTCAAGCTCCTTGTAAGGGAAGTACTCTTGAGTGTTTTTGACAGGAATAGACTGAATTATACACACTGTCATCCAAATAATAACTGAATGCTAGTGAACCTAGTGGGCAAGAAGAGCATATAAAGTGAAGGCTTTAGTGCAGCAACCTAGTGATCTCACTGTTACACTAAGACAAATACAAACCATTAAAAGCAAAGCAAGATACTACAACATGCAACTCAGCAGGGGCACTGAAACGAATCCATGGAATAAACATTCCATGTATTTAGGCGGATCTGACCTTATGTTTGTTAGTTTTTATTACTGTACTGTACAGTCCTACTCTAAGGCCCTGGAACACAGCACTGCACCTCACGTTATATCTCTTGTAACAGTTTTAGATAAAGCAATGGAATGGAATGTAATTAACTGAGGATTTATAGTACTGGAGTTTGCAATACTGATACACTACCTGTGTAACAGGTTGGCTTATTATATGTGGCTGATATACTTGGGGACTCTGAGATACCACAACTCCTGGAGCAGCAGGAGCTGACTTTACAGCAGGGCAAGCTAGAAAATATCAAGATCATTTCAAATTAATTTTTAACAACAAATTACTTCACGCACAAAGTGACATTCTGATCAGAAAGCATTTTCTAAGTTACATAATTGAATTTGGAACACATTTAAACCAGCACCCTGCATAAACTAATCAGATCACTTTTCATCTGTCTCAAATCCCTGTGAAACCAAAGACCTGAGCAGGTGAAAAGAGGTTTGCAAAACCTGAATAAATAAAGAATGTGGAAAAAAATATTTTAGTAAGAAGAGCAATGAGAAGATCAATGTTTGCACATGAGCACTGATCTCTCATATAAAGAAATTAGAAAATAATATCTGCAAAAACTGTCTTTTTAGACATTACAGATTGTGCTATAATTCTGCTGCATGTCTCTTCTGCTCTGAAAGAACCCAGCTTTAAACTGCCTTGAAAATCTTATAACAACATTGAAGACTAAAAAAAAATTAAAACAGTAATAAAAATGCTAGATGTCATCCCGCAAACCATTAACTTACATCTAATGGTGCACAGGCTGATATACCAAACATAGAATGTTTAGTGTACTTTTCACACATTAAAAGAGGAACAAAATAATTGTAAGACATTGATGAAGACTAAAGTTTAAAATCATATCTGTAAGCCTATACGTACCACCAAGCAAGCCAGATCCATGTGCACCTTCAACAGTACCAGCCTGCTGATAGTACGACTGATAATCCTGACCATACTGAAGAAAGAAGCACAAATGGAAATGACAATTAACCATATACAGTTATATCAATAGCTGGCTGATGATGTACCAAAGCATGTTTTCAAATCCAAAGACTGAACTTTTCTTTTGAACTATATGGTTATATAAGAAAGAATTTGAATTGATTTTAACAGCTTGTGTGCAATTAAATACTTTTCAGTGGCTAATAATGATCAGTACCAACTTGTTCTCACCTGTGAATACTGTGCATAACCGTCCTGGAGGTACCCATAATCCACAGATGCGTCTGATCCTTGCTGTGGCTAGAAAGATCAGTGACATGTTAACACACCACGAAGTGGAGTTTTAGTGACCAGACGCACAGGGGATTACCGATCCAGTACCTGGCTAGATGACCACTGAGCAGCAGCAATTGCTGTGCTGGCCACAGAGAAGGCGCTGATTCGATTTCCATCCGGAAGAAGCAAGTCCCTGATTAAAACAAATACTTGCTGTTATCAGAACAAAAATAAAAGTCTCACTTGTATAAACTAAAGATGCCGAGTACTGCATATTACAGAACACAAGCAGGGTCTTTTCACAGTGATGTATATTTTAGAGTGCCTCCTTAAATTTTGCTCCACTGTACCAGCCAACACCTTTGGGCTTTGTTGTGCTGAAACTTAAAATGTTTAAACCAGAACATATTACTGCTTAAAATTACAGTGTGAACCAACTTACTTCCTTGCACTCTTCGCATAATCCACTCCAATAGTCTTTCCATCAAGTTTAAGAGGGGGCTGGAGACCTTGTAAGATTGTGAGAAGCTGCGATGCCTCCTAAACAAGTACAGCAAACAGCACTATTAATAATCTCTACAATACCCCAAGGTAAATCTGATACTTAAGATGTGCTGTGAAAAATGAAAATGTAAACTTGACAAGAAGCATGGGACAACATCTTTTGCCAACAGGGATTATAATCGAACAATTCAATGAAAAGAGAGTGCAGTTCTACATACCAGAGGGGAGGAGAGCTGCACAAAGGCAAAGCCTCGATTCTGACCGGTCTGCTTATCCTTTATGAGACGTATGTTGCTCACTGATAAATTGGCATAGGGGGCTAAAGCTGTCATAATAGCTTCCACTGTTGTGAGAGGGGCAATGTTTCTCAAGATGATGGCTGTCAGGTAAAATAAAATTTCATTAGGCAAGTAGACAAAACTTTAATAATATTAATACTTTAAAACATGAAATTAAGATTGTGTCCTTACTATAAACTGTTTCCTGTTTACAACTGATATTAATTTAGAAACTCTGCAACCATTCTCTAGGCAGTCCACATAATTTCCAAAAGGCAGTTTGTATTCATAAGTACAACAGTTATATTAAACAACTTCTTCACTTTTACATTGAAATGATCGTTCAGTATTCAACAAACTGTTTTTATATCTTTTGTGAATGTGCAGCCTGTAACAGCTGACGTTATTTGTTAACATGCACCTATCAACTGATAACCACAGAAATTATTTTTACAAAAACAGTAAATGTAATATAAAAATTACATACATCTGTGTAAAAATTGATTGGTAAGTAATAAAGTCCTTACTATCTCCATAGTAATCTCCTCCTTGCTGTGGCTCGGGTGCTCCACTTGGGCTGCCTGACTCACTTTCTGTTACAAGGAAAAGACAGAAAGAACCCCGACACATTCCATTAAGCATTTAGACGGATTGCATGGCTTGAAGTCAGCAGTAGCAATAGCTCAAGATGCTACCGACTGTTGGCACTTGTCACCATTGTTTTCTCAATTTACAGCTACCGACAAAACAAAAATAATAAAAATAATAAAATTCCAACAAATTGGAATCACATCACATCACAAAAATGGTCACATCACATATCCACAAATTTGAAAACTGTATTGAAATAACCCTTCATGCTACTCAAACAGAAAATGACAAAACACGGAAAGGAATCTTTCATTTGCATTACTTACTTTCTAATATTAAATGATGTGTTTCTGCTTTGACTACGTTTGAGTAATAATACGTATAAGTATATGTCAGGGAATTGAAAAGGCAAAACGTAAACTGGCCTTGGCTTGAAGTATGTTCATGTTTGTAGTGAAGGCACAACAGGCCTCAATTTCACAAGTAGACCAAACTTTGTCTCAGCAATTAAATGCTTACTTGCCATCAACACAGAGTTTAACAGGTCCAATAAAGTTATAAAACCAAGAATCTTTTGTTGCAAAAAAAAACATAATACACATTGGTAGTGTTCTTGTATCCCAGATGTTAGTGATCAGCCAGAATTAACACAACATAAAGCTTTGACTAAATCTATAACGGATAATTTCAGATGCTGTGATTGTTCTTAAAATGGTTATTGCTAAATTGCTCATGTAGTTAAACTATTCTCAATGTAACTGTGCTGCTGTAATTGCCACTTATTAATAATTTTACCATCCTAACCTAGAATGTATTCATTCCCCTTCAGCAGGCATGCCATAATGTCATTGCTTATTTGTACTTTATGCACACTAATCTTCATCTATCCAGATATTCCTACCAAATCTGTTTTTCTTTGCAGTATTTGACTTAGTGAATATTGCATATGTGATACACTTCCATAACTGTTGATATGTACAGGATCAGTCAGGACTGGGACTCTTGCTACCTCAAATCTGCTAAGTGGCAGCACAGATATTTTCATTTCTAGGTCTAACATGCAGAGGTACCCAAAAGCATCACTGGTTGTCCTGAAGTCTGCTACACTGAGCGATGAGCTTCGCTACTTACAGTACGAAAAACATGTTACTCACCAAAACATAACATCAGTTTGTAAAACCACAATGAAGATTATGCATCTTTTCCTTCAAAACTGCCATGCATTTATCAATGTAAAAGTGTAACCCAAGGTTCAGCAACCTAAGGCACACATGCTATTACTGTCATGCAAAGGGATTTTTAGAAGCACGTGCAATAAAGGTCTAATGAGCCACAAATCAAGATAAAAAAAAATATGCTTGACTGTTCTATAATTCTCTAAAACATGCTACCCAATTAAAGCTATTGTGATGTATAAATAAATGATTGCTGCTAGAAGAGGTGTTAGTGCTACCAGTAGGGAGCACTCACCCAGCAGTCTGTGTGGGTCCCAATGCCATAGTTTAATGATGGGGACACTATACTGTAAAAGAGGTGCTGCCATTCAGATAAGTGTAAAACCAAGGTCCTGACTCTCCATGTTCATTAAAACTCCCAACATCCTTTCTCGAAAAGAAAGGAAAGGAAAGCTTGTAGTCTGTGCTGCTGATAACATTTTTTACACTTAAATCTAAAGAAATATTTTGGACAAAATGTGAGTTGCTAAGAAAGCAAATTTAGCCGTTCATTCATTTAAGGCTCTTTGGAGAGGCGAATATGGATTTCTTCAAAATAAAAATTGCAAAAGTGTGTGTATATAAATGAAGTACCGCAGTTAGCAATTCTTGCAAGATAATGTTACTTGGAAGGAGTTTGAGAAGAGCTGCGCTGCCTAAAACCCATGTATGGCTCAGCTACAAGGGAAGATACAGCAGTTTATTAATCAATTTGAGTAAAGAAGAATTGACATTAAGAAAATTCTCTCTGTTACTGATGGCTCCCCAGCTATAATTTGTAAAGATCACCTCAAATCACATTGGCCACCCAATGGCAAATTTTCATGGTATTTTCTTGCTAAATAATCTTTGTGTCAAGATTTCAATTTATGAAGTTAATACTTTTATATGACTACAGTGGTGATTACAGTGGTCATTTTTTTTCTTGCTTGATCTGCCTTGACACAGGCAGTTTCAAACTTCGCTATGAGCCTGAGATCAGGGAACTTAGCAAGTGAAAGTAAGGGTTAGGACTGCATTAAATAAGATGTACACAATTATAGATATTAATCTTCAATTTTAAAAATCAGAAAACTTTTAAAAAATTGACATTAAAAAACTATGGCACTGTAAGAAGTACATGAGCCAACGCCCCTTGTGAAGGTTATTGACCCCTGGTGTAATGACTCCTGCTCAATAAAAGCTGGGTGTATACGACATTAGTGCTTCCTTTTTCATTTCTCTCACTTAGCACACCTCTATTTAAACTAAGTATGGCTTTTTAAGCAAACTGTCTTAATTAGGATGAAAGTATGCAATTTACACACTTTTTACAAATCATCAAAACTAAAAACACTATAATTTTGTTTCAGACTGTACATGGATATTTAAATAGTGAAAATGTCAGCATATCACCCATACAATACGTGGCACAATCAAAAATAACTGACACACTAGAGGCTAAATGCAGTACTGGAAAAAATGAAAGTTGTACAAAACGGGGATGAGAAATCAGCACCACCTGTCAGCGATGTTCCCAGCAGAAAACTGCTGGTGTATCAGGATGAACCATTCTTGCTTCATATTTATTCAATTTGCACAGGACACTTACCAACTTTGGCAGCTCCACACCTGAAGCACTTCAGCCGCCTCCGGAAATTGTACAGGCCACACTGCAAGCAATTGGTCAGATTATTTTACCCAAAATGCTACTGATGATTGCAACCTGAACTAGCTGCCTCGGTGACAAGCAAACTAGTAAGTTGCTGTAACTGATACTTACCAGCCCAATATGTTTTGGATGTCCCCCGATATACAAAAATATTGATAAGAAGTGTTTATTCAGACCAGTTAAGTACACAAGGTCATTTAAAAGTGAAAAACTAAAACATTCATGTTGCATGATAATTCAGTGAAAAGAAATTTCGGCACTACCACAGTAACACGAAAGGATGCAGAGGCACAGCCCACCTAGGTCCATACATATTGTGACACTGCAAGGGTGAGGAAACAAATGAAGGTGCTTACTGTGTTGCAAAGCCAGTCTTCAAACTTGTGCCTCGGGTTGCTGTAGTGCATGGCCACTGGCTTTCCTTGAATCACCAGCAGTTTCTGCAAGATGAAGATACACTCAATTATTTCAGTTTTTCATGGCAAGTGATCTGCGCTGGCTGGTTTGATTTCATTAATCCCAAGGAAAAGCACACTTCAAGTTGTGTTGGGGAGTGCTCGGGCTCCAAGTTTTAGTGTCAGCTGATGTTTGTCAGGGAGAGGAGCAGGGTGTGTGTGTGCCCCCAGGAAGTTTTGTAAAAGTGTAGAGGACCCGAGTGCTACTGACTTGGCCTTGGCCCATTCTCGTCTTCGGATAATGAGGGAGCGTTGCAAAATGGGCCAAGACTCACAGGCAGAGCGAGTGTGAAATGGAAACCCAGGGCACATCTCCGAATAGATATGTACTTGTGTGAACCTAGAACCGAGGAGGGCCTCAAAAGAGACAGGGTAGATCAAAAAAAATAAAGATCCTCTTTGTATTCATAGGACAAGCTGGACAACCTTCACAGACGTTTCACTTCTGCACTTCAAATAAAAAAAAAAAGACTGACCGCATACACAGATCTATCCGTTTTGTACTTATATGCCAATTTTCTTTGTTTTTTGCAGAATTTGACATTCTGAGAGTGAGCTTCAGAGGGACCATGTTATTTTTCAGTAAACTACTGCCAAGAAAGGTATTGTGCAAAGGATTTTTCAATTTAAAAACTAAAACACAAATGTTCTTTACTTTATACTCACAGAAAAGTAACAGACTATCTGCCTGGAAATCTGTCCATGAAGGCAGATTACCTAAAATTCAAGCCATATAAGGAGCAACCTAAAGTTTTATTTACTAGGGTGTTCATCAGTGATGTATATTTAAAACACTTAAATCCACCGGAAAGCATTAGTCTTAAACCTGGAATTTAAAACATTGCTAACAATTAAATCTTATAACCTTACAACTATAGATTGAAAAGTATATCTTAAACCATGCCAACTTACAGTCTAAAATGTCTCTGTGCTATTACAAAAACTGATTATCATTATAACAGATCAGAACAGAATGGTCTTTTGGGAGGTACAAGACAATACTTTTCCCCAAAATGACATGATTTAGGTGACAAAATATAGCTAAAAAGTTGTTGTAATACAATATTCTCATACTTCATGTAAAAGGTTCTAGCTTCAATCTAACTTTTTATATATGCAGACTTTACATTTGTGTTTTGATGAAATTCCTTAAGCACAACCCCCATCTCTTTGTATATGCTGAGAGAATTATAAATGCCTTTTAAAATGCTTTTTTACCAAATAACTTCTCTACAAAAGCTTTTCTTCTGGTTTAAAGGCAAGCCAAAATTACATATTCCATTAAGAATGTTTCTTGTATAATGTGCCTCATTTTTCTACTGCATCCAAGTATCAGAAGGAGAAAAATCTCTAACTAAGAGGGTATGAATAAATCTGTTACGTTACTGGATGCAATCACTTTGAAAAATTCATACTCAAGTTCCCAATCCTTTTTCCTCCTAAAGGGTACAAGGATACTAAGGAACTTTCTAATTACAGAAACAACAAAAAGTATTACAGAAAAATACTTTACAATACTTTGCAAATTTTATGTTCCTCAGCCGACATGTAGAAACTACAAAAAGCACAATTTACACATGAGAGAGGAAGGAAGTACAGGCTGTCTCCTCCAACCCCCTCCCTTTGAGTTACAACATAGGCAACACAGTGCTGATTTGAGGAGAGGCCTATCCCTCACCAACAGCACCTCCGAGACAGCAGACTAGCAGACTATTAACCAACTACCCTATCCTCAGCAGCGCTCAGTAAATCACGTTACTAGTTGGAAACTCCCAGTCAGAGATGTCTAGTAACGTGTCCCAGGTTCAAAACCATGAAGTCTGGATAACAGACTATATCTACATTTGGGTGGGTGGGTGTCTTTACTGGCTGCCACACACAGCAAAACTTGTAACTCATGTAAGGATACTACAGCCTAAAAGAAGTCGGCTCAAAAGATAAGCAAGCCTTGTCATTTTCCAGCATTACAAATCTCACAGCACACGCAGTAGTGTTTTTTGGATAGTACCCTCTTCTGCTCATAATTTGCAGTTTTCTTTTAAAAAAAATCTTCATTGTTTTTTCCTTCATTTGCATCCGTTGGATTTTTTTGTTTTGTTTTCATCCCCAAGGTAAAATCTAGACTTGGCGATTGAAGCAACCTGATTGGTCTCCATCCATCGGGTAGCATCTTGCAAGTGATAAAACTCCACGAAGGCGAAACCTCGGCTTATACCTAGAGACAGCATTCAAATATAGACGGGAGTCGTGTTAGTCAGATTCCTTGATACACAATCAAGCTGTCAAACTGCTTCACAACTCAGAAACCCAACAAGTGAAACAGTGGGAGATCTGGACAATTGTCACAAACTTTGCCATAGCAAGAAATATGTGTTTGAAATGTTTTAAGTTGCACTCATCCATAGACTTTCAAATGACCATCATGCAACTATGCAATAGGTTATATTTTGAAAGGAAGAATGATATTATTGGACAATTATGCTTACTTACCTCACTACTTCACTTTTCATTTGAAATTGTTCTTTGTTTTCAAGGAATAAAATTCAATTTTTTTAAAAAAAACTATGCTCATTCCTTCGCTATGGCAAAATTATTTCAATTGGAGCGAAGTGGACTGTCGGGGGTTTTCTGTTTCCAGGGAGAGGAAAACTTTGCTGCCCAGCCTTGGGTCTCACCTGTCCGCTTTTTCATTAGCCTGACGTCAGCGGGCTGGGGTCCCTCCAACAAGTCCAAAGCAGCGCGAATCTGAAATATCAAAGGACACAGAGAATTGCAAATAACGGTCAGAAATGGTATCTAAAATTTGTGGCAGTATCTAGTTTTCATAACATCTGAATACTACCTCTCTCCCGACATCGCAGAGGCCATGGCATTCCACAGAAATGCATAAAGCACATGGCATCTCCAGAAGCAAAAGATGCTCTTTAAAATGTATTTTCCCCTTGCTCATCACAATGCTACTTTTACCTAGGTGACAAAAAAGGCAAAAGAATGTTCACTCCCCAAAGTAGAAACCAGCAAGAGATGAACCACTTACATCTGCCTCTGTGACATGAAGTGAAAGGCCTCTCAACATGATGGTCTTGCTCTCTTTCTCTTCACCCATGTCTCCCCTGTAATCTTGGTCCTGGTAGTCACCGTCCGAGTGGTAACCATCTTCAGATTTGTCGCTGTTTCTTCGCTTTCTTTCCCTCTGAAAAAGTGAGACATCAGAAATGCCAGAACTATTTATTCAAGCCAAAAGAAAACACCCAGTGATTTTTATTTTGTATGTCTCACAAGCCGAATAAGGGTCTGCACTATTCACACCATTTTGGAATGCCTACAGTTCTGTGGGCACAATCCCTGTACAAAGTCCCCCCCTGTGTTTTGTTTCTGAACATTTAGGACTATGTTCTTCACTTCTGTTTTGTGAATGAAGCTTAAATTGACAATCTGGACTAGTTTAGCCAATTGTAGTTCCGTAGACCCTGATTAAGGCAGTACAGTTTTACCTCTGGACTGTCCCTGCTCCTGCGTTCATCATATCGCTCGCTCCTGCGCTCATCGCTCCAGCGCCGCTCGTACTCGCGGTCTGAGTCTCTGTCCCGGCGCTCTCGCCACTCCAAGTCGTCCCGACTCTGATCTGGACCATACCTCCCGCTGCGTTCACTGCGACTGATCCTGCACAGAGTGACCACAATTCATTCCACGCCACAGATTTTCATTGGCTTCCAACCACTAATTGGTGAAGTGCCTCTGTAACTGACTGACCATCAGAAACTACTGAAGTATCACTTAAATAAGATTGAAGATTTCTGGGGTGAAAATGAAAGATCACCAACATCTTATGAGATTAACAAAAAATGTACTGCCTGTAAAAGTTTCTATTAAGCTACATATTTGTTAAATATAAGGCTGTCCGGTCTGTATAACAGCGACTGATATGCAAGATTGCTATTTAAGGTCTGAAATTCTGCAATCTACATGCAATCAGCACTCTCTCTCCTTTATTGGTTTTTAATGCTTTTCCCATTGGAAAACCCAGAACTTACACAACCATTTAGTTCTCTAGGGATACTGATAGATGAAACACTACATCCTTATTATTTCTGCTCATGATGAGATCAACAGCATCTCAACAATAAGAAATCACTTAATTCAGTTTAGTAAAAAATGTAACAATACCTAAATATCATAATCTTTCATTTTCAATTGATAATTGAAACTAATGATACGAGACATGACATCATTCATGTACTCTTCACACATTCCCCTCTAAATATCTTTTATCCAAAACTGCACATCAGATTTTTAGACCCTGTTAATCCGTACAATCTGTCTACATAACTCTTCTCAGAGGGGTATCAAAAAGAATATTGTCAAACAGCTAGGGACTAAATAAACTAAAGGAACGATTTATCACAAAAGAACTTATCACACTGCTGAAGCTGCTCAGAGAGAAGTGAAACCTCCCTGAACACACATGATGGATGGTTTTAATTGTTAGTAGGTCTCACCGTTTATCTGATCCCATGTCAGGAGTTTCAGCCAGCGTTTCTGGTTTCTTGCTTTTAGATCCCTAGAGAGACAAAAATAATTAGGTACCAATTCACATTCATCGCTAACAGTTATACACTCCGATGGCAGATTCAACACTTAGTAAACAGTGAAGTTTTTAAAGTGCTACATCAGTTGTAATCAAACCGGGCTATGAGGGACTTAAGCATGCCGTTTTATGTTCCGGTTGAGCTGCAAATGACTGGTGCTCATTGATACCTTTAATTGATATACTTGCTTGTTTAGACTTATTTCTGCACTCAGGTACTTGGTTTCAAAAACACCTTATTTCAGGTGTATTTTTCCCCAACATCTTCAGCATGCAGAACTTTAAACAGCCTCTTCTCATTTTGCTTAAGGCGTTTGCTTGATTATTTTTGTCCAAACAGCTCTTAATGGGTAAAAAGTAATTTCCAAACAAACAGAAGCAGGAATGACTAGCTAGTTATTTTTTCTTTCTACTGATATTTAGTTGGTTAAATTTCAGCTAACACCATAATAAGGTCCTGAAACTCAAAAACAGCTACATGTTTGAAAACACAAAATCAACTCTTAAGAGCGGAGAGTACATTTAAAAACATGTCTCGGTAAAACATAATTAAGAACTTGACTGAAACAAAAAAAAACAGGAGGAACCCAAAGACAACAAACTGAGGGATTCTAAAACCTTAACATTTACTCAGAATTAAACATACACTGGGAAGTTGCTGGGAGCTGGCTTTGCCCTTCTATAGTTTTGCACCCAATAAATCTGATCTGCCATGACACTCGAAATACTGAACTCATCTTACTCACTGAAAGGGCAGTGTGAGCTCAGACACCTATTTCTATTAAAACCGACCTCTTTGGAAAATAATTATTAGCACTAAGAAATCTCTACCCCAAGACGTGGAGACCACGTCCAGGCAAGCCAGCACAGATCTACGTGCACCAAAGACCCCTCTTGACTGCTACTGAATAGGATAGTCCCCTTCTTACCAGCTGAGTACCACGATATTATTGGCACCGGCTGAGCAAACATTGCCTTAGTCGACCGATCCGTGTTAACTTTATGTACTACTCACACGCTGCTACATTTCAAGCGTTTGAATCCCAAACCCTCAACTAAATAATACAGTATATTTCAATTAAGATCTAAGATAGCGTTACTGCTTCAAAACTTAAGTTTTCGCCACAGCAGGGTCGGCATTTTTTAAAAATAGCATTTCGGCACATTTTTATGGGTATATACCAATACTATCGCGAATTGAACTAGCTACTACAAAATGTACCACGAGGGCTAATACTAGCAAGCCAACTTTAACGCTCTTATGTAACATAGCAACCGGTACCAGAAAGCCTACGATATTACAAAGCTTCAAGAAACGCATCTGCACAGGACTTGTGACAAGTTGCATTTTAACCATGCATTTAGGATGCAGCAATTTTCTTTAACCTAAGCCTTTCGATTTTGATTTGAAGTCTCCCAACTTGTATCTTCCGTTCTTACACAGAATGCAAGTAATGTAAACACATTAAGCCGATACTGTTCTACTTACATGAAAATATTTTTGCAGAATATCTTGTTTCAAAGCGGTAAAATGCACTATAAACGCAACATCATACGGTATTAATGAATCTCCTGTATAAACAGAGCTACCCATTTCAAAGCACTGAGAACAAGATGGAGACGTATCCAAAAAAAAAAGCACTAAATTACTAAATATATTCAAGCAAATCGACTTCAGAACTTACCAAGCTTTTACAATTTTGCAGAACAATATTCGCGTCTTTTTCTATTCGAAAACACAAATATTTTCTCGGAGAACGTTTCTATTCACGCCTTTTCCATTCTTAATCAACGAGTTAAAATGGCGGATTCAGCTTTCTCCTTCCCAGCGTGCACCAGAATTAAGATGACACCCTATTTGCGTAAAGTGTGTCTTGTGGGAACTGTAGTCTTCTGATCTCTCACCAAACTCCCAGATCATTCCATTCGCATCTGACATTAAAGTGGCGTGGTAGTTAGCACGAACACGTCCTAGTTTCCGGACTAGTCCTGGACTTACCTCTAACCTGAGAATCGTTTTTTGGAGTCTGTGTGTTCTCTTCATTTTTTATCTGGGGGTGCTCTAGTTTACAGAAACACACTACTTACATTAATTGTTGTCTCTTAATTGTCTTGCCTTGCAACAGACTGGTGTCCTGTTAAACGTAAGTACTATCTTGCACCATATTCATGAGTTGCCATGACCCTTAACAATAAAATAAACGTTTTTGTGATGAATGATTTCACACGATTTTAACAAACCTTATATATCCATGTATTTTCTAACTGCTTCTTCCGATTCAGGTTTGCTGGAGAGCCAGAGGTTCTTCCGGCAAGCAACAGGGACAAGGCAGAGTACACTCCTGGATAGGACCCCAGTCCAATTCAAGGCACAAACGCACATACTCACACAATGAGTACAATTTTCCCAGAAACCAATTCTGTTTCAATTCAAGAAACCTGTTTGATGAGGGAAGAAACTGTAGCACTCAGGGGAAACCCACACAAACATCGGGGAAACAAACTCCATACAGATAGCAACCAGATGTAAACCCAGGACCCCAATGGTGCAAGGCCAGCAATGCTAACTACTGTAATACTGTACCACCTCCATGACCTTATATACTATACACAAATCCAATGAAGGATTTTTGAAGGAACCTTTTCCTGTTTTTTTACAAACATTTCTTAACTTCCAAACAAACTTACCTTTGTGAGGTTAATAACCACTTCTCCTTACCAAGATCCATCCAGGTTAGGTTCACAAAATAATCCAGCTGGTTTTTAATACAATAATGTGTATACAGTATGTCAATATGTAATAGGTTTATTCCATGCTGAAAAAAAGAAAAGAGAAAACGCAAAGTTTCGGCCGTGGAGCCTTCATCAGGTGTGAATGTATGTAATTGCATTTTCATGGTGCCATGGTTGTACATGATAGTCTCTGAAAAAAATAATTGGGAGATGAAGCAGTTAAAAGATGATTATAATAGGGGTTAGAAGAATGTAGGTATTGACCACAGGTCTTTTTAAATATTTTAATACGTCCAACACCAAGAACTGCAAATATCTGACTTAAGCTTGTAACCTAAAAAAACTAGACACCTAATAAATTAATAGCAGAGGCTAATTCCACAAACAAAAGAAAAAAAGGCTTTGACAGTGGGGAAACAGTGTTTTCTTCTTTTGTTTGACCTTTCAGCATGAAATTACCATCTACAGTATTCCTTTATAGATCGCACGCCAACACAGCTCCTTCCTCAATCCCACACACAACATGTCTTTTATTTGGCTTGGCATTACAGTTAATTAAGCACAGAAAAAAAAACCTCCACCACACCACTTTTTTCCAATTTTAATTTTTCAAACATAAATGGTACAGTTATATTACACTTACACAAAGTTTAAAAAAAAGAGCTTAGAAAAAAAAATAAGAGATACAGTAGCAGAGGTCTGCAGAGCTGGTCCTGGAGAGCTAAGGTGTCCTCTGGTTTTCATTACAGCTGACGTCATTAGGAAAAGCTAAACTTTTTTTTAAGGATCTCTGGTCATGCACCAATTAAGGTATGTATGTAATGTATAGTACGAGCGCTGTTGGAAGGGGACATTCCAGGATCAGGGATGCAGACCCCTGCAGTACAGTGTCCACAATAAGAGAATTAACTTGGCACTCTGGGACTTCTCTTCATTTCCTGCACTGTGCCCATGATAGAAGGGTTATGACTGGTTGTCTCTGCTACACGAGCACCCTCTATGCATTCTGCAAGCACCACCTCCCTGTCTGCTTTAGTAAAAGAGGGATTAGGGGGTGAGGATTTCTAAAAGAAGGGGTGAGGTTTAAAGGTTCAAAGGACAGTTGGATTTTCAGTGACATTTTTTTTTAGTTACTGCTTCACTCATTCACAAGCACAAGGTACACTTCATGCTGCTTATAGTAGTTAACTCCTCATTCCTGCCGGCTACTGCGAGTTGTCTCCACGTTTACATTACCTGCTAAAATTATTATGCGGTGTTCTGTGCAGTTCTAAACACTGTCCTCAAATGCCACCATCAGTTTGAGGAGAGTGCCAAAAGTAAGCAACAGGTCTTGGGACTTAAAAGATATCCAGAGGGATTAAGAGAAAAGGAAAGCCACGCACACATCTCATTTGGGAAGGTCTTTTAGTTGTCCCGTGCAAACACAAATGTGTCTAAAGTATGCAAGCATATTTTAAAAAATGTTATAAAATGGAAGAAGGTGATGTTTGGGTGCCATTGTTATACAGAGCTACTCCAGGCTCTTCTGAATCCTGTGTCCCCGTGCGGCCTAAGTCAATGTCTCCCCCTTTGTAACCTATACAGAAAGAAGAATAATGAGTTTAATATTAATGACATTCATCCTTCACTGGAAAGCACTTAGCATCCAGAAAAAAATGACATAATTATTTGGCTTTTGATGTTGTTAAAATATAGCTGATCTTAAAAAAACCTTTAATGTGCTATTAGCTTTGTCACTTTAACGACCAGAGACTAGTATTTATAAGCAAAGATACAGCTCTCAGTTATCACCTGTCTCATGGAAATTATGCATTTGGATATCTGCAATGAGACCAGGACATGAGCAGAAATCTGCCCTGCGGCTGTCTGCAGAGGAATTGCATTTTCAGTACAGAATCAAAACAGCAAATAAAGGCCATGAGGTACTGTATGAGTCAAAGGCAATACACTGAGTAGGTGTTACTGCAACACACTCTACCAGAATGAATCTGGAGATTGCAACATTAAAATATTGACTTTATGGTGAAGTTTTCTGACCCACCTACCCTCTTTTTGTAACAATGACTGTGCAGGGAAATGAAACACAAAAAAAAAACAAGTAATTTTCAATTCTCAAGGCAACTATCCCACATTCCCAATGACTGTGTGTACAATGAACACTCCTCCTACTAAACAATTCCCGTTCAATGGCGAGTCATCAGTTAATTGTGACTGGAACTTCGAGAACAAATACATTTGTCATTTTTTCCCCCCCTAGAAGGATGAAATGAAGCACAGGGAAATCCAGAATGCTAGTATTTAAATATTGAAGTATCAGTGCCCCACAACAGATCCTACTACTTACCCTAGCCTCAATGTATTCAATTCTCCTCTCCAGCGCCGTCAGCTTCTCATTCAGAGTTGCCAATCGGGACCGACAGGACATATCTATACATGAGAAACCTGCTGTTGAGTACTGCTGTAACACAACTGTGCAGCAGACAATCCTGCAGCTGTTGGGTCCAATCAGTTTAGCCCAAGCTGTCAGTGTGATGAGTGCAGGTCTCCCTACCGAGATTCAATCCGATCACTTGCAGGCTCCCAACATGCACTGTCTCCCTAGACAGCAGATATCCTCTCCTTGACAAAAGACCAGGTCTTTTGAGTTTTAGAACTATCATACCAGAACCTATATCAAACAAGCCACTGCAGTTGACACTTTTAGTAACCTGAAAAAAATACAAAATACTGAAGCATCTCCGATAGTTAGGAACACTGCTAAGTACTACATTGTTATACAACCCTAAAACCCTGTGACACAAAAGAGACTTTTTCAGCTGCCCCCTGGTTAACAGGTTCTCTTGAATTCAACATCACATTCCATGACAAGCTTTCCCTAGGGCAGAGAAGATGCTAAAAAACTGAAGATCCTCAGCACTAGGCAGTAGCCTATGTACTTGTTTCTGGGCTGCTAATAATAAAATAACGTGTTCACGTGTTCCTTCTTCAAGCAGGAGCTCCCCAGTCCCCAACACCTGCTAGTTTATTAATTGATCTAATAACCGGATTTATTTGAAACCTCCAATTATTTCCAGGTCCTAAACATGTTGGAGATCGCCTTCTGACTACTGCAATTCATAAGTCCATCATTTGAGTGGAACAAAATTGCAAATGCTCCAATCAAGCACAGTGTTGGCTCAATTAAGTGTTCAATTAGGGAAAATGTTAGGTTAGGTGCGTTACACCCAAAGAATAAGGTTGGATACCCCCTGCTTTAAGCAATATGATAACAAATTTACATGTACATCATGGGGCAACATCAGGGAAACATCAAAACTGCAGCAACATCTATAGTGCACTGGGGCTGTCCAGAGGCGGAAGCTGTAAAATGGCCTCAGGTCTGAATTCGTGTCCTAATGTGCCTGTTCCTATAGAGTAATTTAACCTCTTTCAAATAACGTGGCTGAGCAAAGATAATTACATTCATAACCCCATCCGGACCACCCAGTAACGGAATGCTAAACGTTGACAAGATTTCTGTTTAAAAAAAAATCCTACGGAATGGGTTTAAAGAGCTATCTGGTACAAATAAAAATACAAATCACCCAGATTTATGGGTGTATGCTTTAACTAAATACAACTGCCCTATCCCTTGAGGATGTTGACCGAACATACTCTTAAACGTAACGTCGCTCAAAGCCCACCGAATTAAAAGACTGACAGTTTCAGCTAAGATATGTATTATAAATTGCAACAGTGTGGTTTATGTCATACAGTAATTAAATACAACAGAAAACCCGATGCATTTTAAGAATGAGACGGCAGCAGGGCAAGGCCTAGTTTTCTGTATTAAACATCTCTGACCCTTCATATTCGCCTTCAGTTCAAAATCTCTTACCGAACGAGTTGAGGAAATCTGCGATTTTCTTAATGCTGCTGGTAATAACTTCTATATATTCTCGATTTGCCCAGTCTTGGTGAATCTCTCTCTGGACGGGATCTTCCTGGCCGGCCATTTTCCCGCAGATCTGGACTGAGACAGAGCGCCGCCTACCTGCTGTTCCCCCGCCGAGACTGTACCACATTTCAACAGGAGAGGGCGCTATTAATACACAAGTCGCAGCTACGCTCAGAAGTGTTCGGGCTGATCGAAGTGTTGTGAAATAAAGCTTCCGTCCGTCGCCATCGTTTGTCTCGAAATGTGATTTGTAATATTAATTTTCGTCATTTTCCTTACTGTTTTTTTTTGTTTAATGTTGAAAAGGGAAACCCTGCAACGCAAGAAAGGTGACAAACAAGATGAGGCAATTCGGTATACCTAACTGGCTTAATTGCTATGTAGCTGAGTGATCAGATGATATCATGCAGCTGTCTCTAGACAGAAACCATTGTATCGGTGTCAGCATGTTAATAGGTATCTTGTTCCATGTTCTCAAACATATTTCTGTATGTTCTGTAAATATGCGTCTTCTGTTCTTGGTTTGGTTAGATGCTCTTCTATATAATTTATGCTTGAGTGGGCTATAAAAATATACGTACGAAATGTAAGGACGTACAGCGTGTTTCACACCGAAGATGGTTATTTAAAAGACCGTGAAAAAATGGAAGTTAGTATTTATATAGGACAAGATATGTCTTAAAGCGTCTAACGCCTTTCACTACTTCTATGAAAGAACCGCCGTACTTTGCTTAGTCCAATCCTCTTCTTACTCCCGAAACAATAGTTATTAATACTGCATAAGTCTCGATATATACGGTTACTCCAGGAATCGGTTTTTAAACCCATTTGAAGGTAAAGACAACGTGAATATCCAACTTTATTTTTACCTACTTGAACTATAGCTTTATTTTTGCCGAGTCATCATGAAAAAGGCTAATTATTTTCTACTGGCATCGCAGATTGTTTTCCAAGTTAAATTCGCCTACATACTCCTATTTACATACTATCACACTTTATCACCCAATAAAGATTATTTTGTGTTGTCCCTTTTATTAACTCTGGTGCAATTAAAACTGAGATTGCCGACACTGAAATAAGCGATTTCTAACCTATCTCGTTTCCTTACACAATATCTATTTCCTCCTGTTACAATAGGAGGCCTTGGTCCGTTTGTACACCCCCCTGCTAACATCGGTTATTTCAAACCGTACATACAAAAGAGATAAAGCTATCGCTTCCTTTCACAGCGTTATCTGATATAGGAACATACTTTGTGCTTTTTTGTCGTTTTATACATTGATTAAAATATCGAAAACATTTTCCTTTTGCAGGAGTTCTTGGGCACTTTGGGGTTATTTCATAACACAAATATTCCATTTAGCCCCACGCATAAATATTACGCATAGGCGCAGAAGCCGCCTAGTGTTCTGTTTTGTTCATATAAGGGTTTCTGTAATTTGCATTTTGGAAAACTTCCTCAAAAAATTATTAACATTTGAAGGCCAGCCCCTTAACACCTCCCCTTTCCTTGCGCACCACCTGGACCCAGCGTCTCCAGGCTCGGGTACAAAAGGGACCTGACAGCGGGAAAGCAGGACAGTCTTTGGGTTTCAAGATGGCTGGAGGGATGAAGAAGTTTTACGATTTCTCGATGAATCTCCTGTCCACGGGAGAAGCGTATAACTTCTCCACGCTGAAGGGCAAGGTCGTGCTGATCGAGAACGTGGCGTCTCTCTGAGGCACGACCACCAGGGATTACACCCAGATGAACCAGCTCCAGCAGCGCTACGGCGCCCAGGGGCTGGTGGTACTGGGGGTGCCCTGTAACCAGTTCGGATATCAGGTAGGGAGGTTACTCCTTCTGACCGCAGGAGCAATTTCCTTTAGCTTGAAGTACCTTAGTGGCTCTCTAGTTTCATAGGAAGTTAGAAAAACGGTAACTTTGTGACGTTTCCGTTATCTGGTGAAGGCAAGGCTTCACCTGAGTTCACAAGGAAATGGAAATCTCATAATTTCGATGGTACTTTTTATTGCTTAATGTTCAGGTTTTTTTTTGCGAGCTGTTTGCACATGAGCCGCTGAAATAATCTTGTTTATCTTTTGGGCTATCGGTTAAAAGGAAACGGTAATCGTTCGGTTTTTCAAGTGTGTATTCTTAATTGATTGAAGTGAAATATTAGCTTTGAAGTAACCTAAATGATTAAACTTCAGTTCTTTTTTTGTTGTGTGGTAATCGGGCGTTGTAAGCCCCATTTTTTTTATATATTAGACCAATTGTGATAATGTTGCAGGAGGACTGAGTTGTCGCGTTGAACAAATTGTTTTTGGGAGGCTAGGATTTACAGGACCCATTTACCAACATACTGGGAGAAAATGTCCCAGTGAAATAATAATAATTATGATGGTAAAACAAAGTTCATTCGGTTTTTCAGGGATAATCAACCTTAACACTTTTTTAGTTCAACGCCATTAAATACATTTTAAACATTACAATAAATTACTGAATTGATTCCTAACTGATGGCAAGTTTAAAAATGAAAAATTATCTGGAGAAAATGGAGGTGCTATAACTGCTCTGGCTGTTTTTGTACTCGGCTATTATACTCTAATCCTGTAGTGCTTCAATTGACTATAAAAGGGTTATTAGATATATTTCAGACATTCAGTTGAGCCATTTATAACCAATTATGTTCCTACAATTCCACAGGAGAATTGTAAGAACGAAGAGATTCTCAATTCCTTGAAGTATGTCCGTCCAGGCAATGGGTTTGTGCCGGATTTCCTTCTGACGCAGAAGGTGGATGTGAATGGGAAGGATGCCCACCCCCTGTTCACATTCCTTAAGGAGCAGTTGCCTTACCCCAGTGATGACAACCTGTCCCTCATGACCGACCCCAAGTACATCATCTGGAGCCCGGTCTGCAGGAATGACATCTCGTGGAACTTCGAGAAGTTCCTCATTGGCCCTGATGGCAAGCCGTTCAAGCGCTACAGCAGACGATTTCTCACCAGCGACATCGAGGAAGACGTCAAAAAGCTGCTGAGCTTGGCCAAGTAGACAGGCCCTTTCTTTAGAGAAGCATTAGTGTGGCTAGAGATAAGCCTGAAGTAACATGAGCGCCATGAAAGATAGTAATGATTCTGCTTCATCTGTTAATCTGCAGTCTGCACATTTTCAGAAATAGTGGGTTTCTTCTTTGCTTCACACAACTGTCGCTGTGTATCTCTTAACACCAAATTGGCGAGACTGTTATTTCTTGCCTGCTTTTGCCTCTGCGAGAAAAGCATGTGGGTGTCTCCCAACTCTGTTTATGCTCTCTAGAGCAAGGTGCTGCTGTGTTTAGTCTCTTTACTGAATGAAGGTGCCCTTTGAAACATGTGCAGAGAAGGGTGTCTGATGTAAATGTAAAAGCCTTAACCTAACAGTAGCATTTGGCCCTCGTAAAGCATAGCTGAGTTACTGGGATTTTGTGTATTGTGGAAAAATAAATTTTCTTTACAAAGAATGTGATTGTAAACTTTGGTTTATTTACTATCCCCCTTCCACCCAGTATCCTTGAACAATTAAAATTTATTATAGAAGGGCTTCAATTGGGACTTTTACCAGAAGTTTTTTTTTTAAATACTGAGCTCATTCCATCGCCTGTTTGCTCCATTTCATTTTTATGCTTTTTTGATTACTGATTACTTTCTATTTGGCATCTTTCATTTGCCTACCCTTTTATTTATCTTTCACCCTGATTCACCCATAGCTCAGAGCAGTTTTCAAGGTCATATGATGAATGCTTCAGTTTGCAATAACCGAGTCATGCTGACGGAGGGGGAAAAAAGTAAAGCCATTTACATTTTCCTCCATCACTCAAACACTATTTTGTTTATTCTTTCTCATTACATTAATAGTTACAGAAGTTGTGATTCACGTCTTGTTCAAGTTTTTAGTCAAGCTTCAGTTGCAAGGCCTTTTTTATCTAGATCTGTACCTTTTACTGTAAATAATCCCAATAGATATTAAGAAGATTGGGGGGTAACTTGCATAAAGTGACTAATAGTATTGAGGTGTAATTATTTCATTTATGGCCTAACAAGGAATAAAAATACTCCAGATATTTTTTTTTTTAACATGTAAAGCCTGTGAAATACCTCTACTTCCGTTATTCCAATTGTATACTATTTGAATACTTTCAATTTCCAGTATAAAAATGTAAATGTTAAACATGCATTCACTGTAGTGAAAAGATATTTGATTTGTTAAGCCGGGTTAGTTTTGCTTGTAGCACACTTCCTCTTAAAGTTGTGCAAGATGTTAATTTTTTAAACTATAATTCCTCAATGTGTTGCATCAGAAGAGAAAACCCTCTCGTGTTAAGTTTTATTGGGATGAAAAAAAACATGTGGTTTCCGGAGTTCTATAAATCAGCCAGATTTCTGAAAGTGTGAGATAGTCTTCCTCCCAGTTATTTAAACCATGAACTAAGAAAACATCAAATCTGACAAATTCTAAACAGGTATTTTGGAACTGAAGTGTGTAGTTTCTTAGAATTAAAATGTTGCTATAATGATTACTTTCTATTTGGCATCTTTCATTTGCCTACCCTTTTATTTGGAATCTTTCACCCTGATTCACCCATAGCTCAGAGCAGTTTTCAAGGTCATATGATGAATGCTTCAGATTGCAATAACCGAGTCATGCTGACGGAGGAAAAAAAGTAAAGCCCTTGGTTTATTCTTTTTAATTTCATTAATAGTTACAGAAGCTGTGATTCACATCTTGTTCAAAAGTTTTTAGTCAAGCTTCAGTTTTTTATAACTACCTACCAAATATAACCAATACTGTTTTTTATGCATAGTGAATAACTTTAAAAATAGGGTATTTCAATTTGCTTAATCTTCAACTAACCAGGAAGATTAAGAGATAAATCTCTCTTCAAGGCATAACCGGAGGGGTGGAGGTAGAGCAGGAAACAGACTTTGTATGCTTTAGTTAAATCCTGCTTCTCAATAACTACAGAATGACTGAATATTCTTTATATCCACATAGTATGTACCTAGTATTACATACATATACATAGCTGAGGTAAATACTTAAAGAGGAAATGCAATGCTATTTTTATATTTCAGGGTTAGAAAGAATCAGGATTGATAAGTGCATTTCAGACCACAATAGAAGTAAAACATACATAGCAACTTGTAAAATCCCCAATTTACATCACAAAATAGATTACATTTCCAGGTATGTGCAGCGCCATATTGTGTGATTCATAACGAGACAACAAAACTTAAAGAGGCCATATTACTTTAACAAGCTGACTTGTGAATACATTGCTTTTAAACCAATAGAAACATTGCTCTTGATTTTGAGAGAGTTTTGCCGATAAATGGAACTTGTTAACTCTGCATGCAGATCGCGTTGGAAACTTTCTGCAGTGAAATATCTTCTGCAAAACCTGTACTTAATTCCCTTGTACATCACATAACATTAGTTATTACAGTGACTAGTGGGCAGGAAGAGCCATGTCACGTCACATTTGTGGGAACTTTGCTGCAACTTACCATACTGTCATACCAAGTTTTTCTATACCATTAATGGATTTATTTTATTACCAGGATTTAATAACTAGTCTGTAAAATTGGGACTGTAGTTTCCCTTTAAATGTAATCATTTCACAAATAGTTTGCATTGAGTCTAAACAATTCACTCAGTTTTTTGTAAAGGGTAGTCTCAAAATAATTTGATTTTTTTATTGAAACATTTTGACCTGTACACTGGTATACTCTATACTGCCATGCTTTGGCCTTCAGTGTTAATTACAACAAAGCTTTTCTATATTTTGAAGGCTAAAATACACTTAAGGGTGTATTTTTTTTTACTTTGTCTATGTACAAATGTATTGTTATTTAATTACCTTACATGTATTACAGTTAGAAAAATATACACCTTATAACACTTTGGAAAAGACTAAACATTTGTGATAAACATAAAAATAAATATGAAAACACAGCTTGGATAAAAAAATCTAAACAGTTATTCATCATTAATCAGTACTTCCTTTTATTTTTATTAATTGAAACCTGGAGGATGTCATATTATGAGCTTGAATGATATCTACTGGAACAGCTGAAATTATATTAAAGGTGTTGATTAATAATAGATAACTGCATCTTGACTAAATATCCTCATAACTGTCATCAAGTGTGCAGGAGATGCACAGTGTAGCTTTTCTGATATACTTAAAAAATTAAACATCTGAGTTAGTGATAGAGGTCTCCTATTGTAAGATGCAACAACCTGGGGGCCCAACTATTTGTGAAAATTAGGTGGAGAAATATGATGCAACTTTCAAATTGGCAACTGCGCATAACACACTTTTTAAGGAACTAACTGAAGAAGCGATTGCAATAAAATAGAAGGTCATACTCTTGCTCCATTTCCAGTGCAGCCTCTATCATGTTGTGTTCCTCTGTTTCTGAAGTGTTCTCTTTACTGCTTCCTTCTAGTGAGCTTTTAAGCTCATCTCCACACAGCATTGTAAGGTTGTCCAGTTCTGCTCCTTGGCTCATATTACAGTACACTCTATTCAACGTGTTCTCAAACTCCAACTTCCCAGCTAGATCCTCTAGTGCCTGGATGTCTTCAAAATCTTTGAATGGAAAAGATGTATAACATACAATTGAAGTTTGGGGTTATGTCATTTTAACACTTAGGATCAGCTTTTACAAATGTCTTATGCTTTCTGCAGCCAGCTTTGTTGGGTACCCACTAGCCATAATATTGGGGACCCCCAAGCAAACTGACTTCTTACTGACTGTTGATGCATACTTGGCTTAAGGAACATCAGGCTTCCGCAACTTTCTATGGTCTGAGCAATCTTCAGAATTAAATTAAAATGAAAACATGCAAAACTGGAGTAATATCCTCCTCAATCCCAAACATCGTTATCCTTATCACAGTCTTAAAACGTGGTCCATTTATTCCTTAAAGAATAATGTTAAAGATTCTGGGCTGCAAATATGTAAAAAGCCTTTCAGAATACATGCCACTGATTAGAACAGCACATAACGTTTGAAATATAGCATGGGTTTAAAGATGATGTTTTCCTCTGTTCTTTTAAGCATGCATTTACATGGTGTTAAGTGTTTTATGCTTTTATGCATTTGCTTCATCATAAGCCAATGCTTGTCATTAACTGTAGCCACATATTACCTTCTAGCAAATCCTGAGCAAGTGGAAGATCAGAACTGCTTGAAAATGAACAGTCCAGTTTTCCACAAATGAAAGCCTCTTCCCTGATAAATAAGGAGATGGTTTTATATGCAGGTGATTAAATGCAGAAAACCTTTTAAAATTGAATTACAATGCCTAAGCCTTCTTTACCCAGTGATAGCCTACATAACATGAACTTCTTTTGCAATCAGAAGTATTCAGGATGAGAAACAATGAGGAATCGGGAGTACAAATTACGAAGTAGTTGAAATAACATACATTCAAATCAACTTCAAAGGTAAGGGCAGAGCACTCACTGTTAATTTATTCCCACATCTATAACAACTGGACTATTTTTTTCCCAAAGAATAAAACTGTTTTATATATGGTGCATGAAATATAAGATTTATTTTTAATTAAAAAGCCTGAGGACCTCCAAAGCCTGGTAAATCTTAAAAAGTGTCTGTATCTAATTCATTTTTTATTAGTTCTTTTTTTAGCTACAACAGCTCTCTATACAGCAGCTTACTATCTCATGTTACGCCTCGCAAAACTGTAAGATAAACTGAAAAAGAAATAATTATTCATCCAATTATGGTCAAGCCAGCAGCCATATCACCCTGCAGCTCGCAACTGGGTACCCACTGATGCCAAGCGGGGTTGAGCCAGGTCAGTACCTGGATGGGAGATCCCCTGGGAAGCTATGGTTGCTGCTGGAAGCGGTGTTAGTGGGACCAGCTGGGGGCGCCCACCCTGCGGTCTGTGTGGGTCCCGATACCCTGGTATACTGGTGGGGACACTATACTGTAGTGGGCGCTGTCTTTCGGATGAGACGTTAAACCGAGGTCCTGACTCTCTGTGGTCATTAAAGATCCCTGTGCATTTCTCGATAAGAGTAGGGAGTTTTCCTGGTGTACGGGCTAAATTCCCCCCCCCTCAGCCTTTACCGTGACCTCCAAATTGTCCCCATGTATGATTGGCTTGCGATGGACTGGCGCCCCATCCATGGTGTACCCTGCGTTATGCTCACTGCTTGCCGGGTAGGCTCCGGCATTCGTTCGCTATAAACTGGTTTGGAAAATGACATGACAAAACCCATGTCAACAGAAAAACGTCGTATAACAGATAAAAAGTCTCGTTTAATGACTGTTGTCTGTGCTCAGCACCGGGGCAGCCTGCAATTAAAATGATGTTTTGAAAACATTCATTCTGAGAATCAGTAAGGTGCACACCCAAAATACAAACTATGCTATTTTGTTTTCATTATCTATCATAATCATCGCCATAAACCCAATCCTCCTTTTCCTTAAACAAGAGAAAAATCCCTATAAACTAACTTACCCTGGAAAAACCGGAGAAGACAATGACAGTAATGTGGGTGAAACTGCACCGCACAACAGTGGCAAGTTAGAGGAGCAGAGGGAATCCCTGTGTTCCGGGGAGGCAGGAAGGAAACAGTGAACTGCCCCGGGCCGAAGGACACAGTCAGGGGCCTCTCCAGAGAAGGCCAACAGCCGCGGAGTGGGAACGACGGAGGGCTGCGGAGCCTGGCGCTCCAGCGCGCAGGCGACCAGAAGGCAGCCCTGGGCCGCCGCGCTTCCCTCCAGTGCCCGATCCAGAGCCGCAGACAGCCCCTGCCTGCACCGCCGCAACTTCTCGGACATGACTAGTAGCCGCCCTGTTACAAAACAGACAAGAAGCCAAAACTGCCATCTTTACGTTCTGACTGCGAAGTCGGGATCAATCTTTGTACTGTTATTTGTTTATTTCAATTTGTGCGAGCTGTATGGTACCAGAATCGCCTTTCAGCTCCTTCATTGAACTGCGGGTACTGATTCGCGGGCTGGCCATCCACAGCCGCGCACGTTATCCTTAAATGCTTATAAAAGTTAATACCGGTAACGAAAATACCAGCCTGCGACTGTTACCAACTTAATTTAGGGTTGTGGGAGTACGGACTTAGCTGCCCAGCGATCCTGTTGATGCCGACAATCAGTCTTTTTTTCCAGAAGCGTCTAGAACGAGATCACAGTATCAATTAACCACTGACCGCCTAACTGACTGGACGGGCCGAATGGCCGTATCTAGTTTAATAGTTAATAACGCAACCGTTAATGTCTTAACAAACATCACTACCAACAACAATAAATAAAGTATTTAGACTTCTGTACCGTTCACACATGTCCGTTACCGTTTGTTCCAACAACCGTTGAGGACAGAGTACTGTATCACGAGAATAATCACTTTGTGTTAATAAAAACGTGTCTCCCGTAATTTCTTAATAAACCTCACTATCAACCACAATAATAACAAATATAGTATTTGGACTTCTGTACCGTTCACATCTGTTCGTTACCGTTTGTTCCAGCAACGTCGAGGACAGAGTACTGTACCACGAGAACAATTGACTACTTTGTGTTAATATTATGCTAATATTCGATTTTTTAAAGTGTAAGAACATGCAATAGACATTGATATCAGCCCAAGGCTTTCCTCTGAATTGGTTTTGTTATATTCGACGCGGTCTTTCTGCATCCTTGTGGATCTGCAGGTATTATGTATTAGTTTTCAAGTACTTTGCAAGATAATATGGAATTCATATTTCAAATTAAAATCGAAATATTTCAATTTTTATAAAATATGTCAACATCATGCTTCGGGCCATCAAAGAAACTCCATCAGTATTGAAATAAATGTTTACTTATTGAGTTAAATTGTACAAAGGCTTTAGAAATCAATGATAAAGATGGATGTTGTGTAGTCAGAAAATCATAAACTTATCAGTCTCACTTCTGTGACTGGTAAGATTAAGGAAACAATATACATTAGGAGAACCGGCAAAACAATGTGAAAACCATAATGGATTTATAAGAGGAAGGAATGACCAGATGTCTATGAATGCAATTAGCTAAATGTATTCATGTGTTTCAGATTTCCCCAAAGGTTTTGGTATCCCTTCTTAAAAGGTTAATCTTGAAGTGTAGATATCTAATGTAACATATGCATATGCTAAAGGAAACAAGATGTTATTCATAGATCCTAACAAAACTCTTCCAACTCTTTTGTTTACCTTACACAACACAAAGATAGTACGAACTGACTGGAAATATCTAATGTAATGAATGCCCTTCCATTAAAAGGCTGAATAAATTAAATCAGGTAATTACGCAGAAGGTTAATAGTGACACATGAATTTCCCACTCCAGATAAAATGTGCGCGTTTTCATAAACTCTCAAGATAGCGGTCAACCAATTTCTGCAGTAAATGTCCACTTAAGGCTTCAATTATCTATTTAGGGTGGGATGGAATGAAAACAGGTGTGTAGGTCACCAGGACCAGGATTTGGGACAACTACTCTAGGTCATTGATGGTTATCAATAAAAGCTATCGATGCTCAGACCCCCACCATAAAATGTACACAAAAAAACCACAAAGCTTTTTTTCTAAAAAAATCACACTTTTATTGATTTTTTAAATTATACCTTTATTTTAATAAACCCAGCAACTTACAAAGTGCTGGTCCGCAGCAACAACAAAAAATATATATATTTCAGGCTAGTGGGTTTGAGATTTATAGAACACACACACCAGCACCTTGCCTTACTGGTGACTTGCTGCCCATTCGTCAATCTGCCCCAAGCATTCCCATAGTTATACATTACATATATTATAGGCTACCACCTGCAGGGGTGAATCTGTGCCTCAGTCTGTAGTTCCCATGGCTTTGTGGGTCTGGTTTGTTATTGGGTGAGAGTTGTGGATAGTAATACCTGACCATCCTACAAATATAACCAATATTTTGACTCATTTCACTTTATAAGAAACTGAGACAGTTCGCTAAGGTGCGATGAAAGATCATAACAAATATGGGCCCATATGTTCCAAGTTAATTGGGGAGGAGAGGCGTTTGAACATTTGTGAAACTGCAACAAAATGCTGATTACCACATTCATAAAAAAATGTATTTCAGTAATATAAGCTACAAAGAGCGTATGAGGTCAGATATGATTCTATGCTAAGGCATCCTGTAGGTCCCACCCCTGTGATTCTCCACCACAAAAATGTAAGAAACATTGCAAATCCGGCATTCAGGTTGTTTGGTAGTTTGTATATTAATGTAAATACAAACTGTATTTGTCTATAATGTTTTGATTCTGCATACTAAAACCACAAACTAGGCAAGAGATAGCAAAGCCTGAGAAAACAGGTCACCATTGTGGTGTTCTTTCCATAGAAAATCTGACTTTACATCCACACTGTGTAAGAATAAACAAACTAAACATGTGGTCTTACTTTGTCCATATTGTACTACTTACACCAAAGCAAAAAGTGTTAAGAAGCACCTGCTAGTTTCCTTTTACAGACATTACACGAAAGCACAGGCACTGAGGATCACTAAAACAACCCAAGACCCTTGTTTGTAAACTATAAAATGAATTCCCCAACTTATAAGCAAGATTACTTGAATGGAAAAATTCAGTACCACTCTTAAAAGAGTAAAAAGCTTAGGCCTTTTATAAAGCGTAAGCCTGAGTTTGTATAAAATATTGGTGTTCATAATGTTTCACAGCTGTACTTTAACTCAAAAACCTAACCCTAGCTCCTATCAATTAATTAACATTAGTTTCCAACAATGCCAAAATAACAGGAAAACCAGTAGATTTGAGTGCATCAATTATTTATGGAGTATAAATTTGTTAACGTTATCATTCCATTTTGATAAAGTCTTAGAGATTTAGAGAATGCTACTAAACTCCATCTTAGAAGCTGCTAATAGGACATTTTTCCCCAGTTCTGTTTTGATGATTCTCATTCAATATAATACACATATCCTTACTGGGAGTAAGTGGCATTCTGTTAAAGCATGGATAAGCTTCAGCAAAGCTACTGGCTGGGTATATATGAATGTCCTTTCAAGCATGGTTTTTCATTGGAAGAAACATTTTATCTCTTCTTAAAAAACAGATTAACATGTAATCATTTTAAAAATAATAACCTTTACTGTTATTTGTAGGTATTCAAAGCTATACAGACATGCATGGGCCAAAATAAAGCTGTAATCCAATCTAGTACATGTTGCCGAAGCCCGATGCACAATTCACAGTAGCTTCAATCAGAAAACTTGCGGAGTAAAGCAGAAGCCTGTTTCACAGCATCAGAAAGCCAAAGGCATGCAAAAATGCTGTTTCCAGTCTTTATTATATATGCACAGCTGAAACAGGCTGCAGTCAGAGTAGAGTGCCTATAGAAAAATACAGAATTTTCCAGTTGGTTTTGACGTCATACGCTTTTTGTTTCAAAAATATAATTACTCCAGGTATGTCTATCTAATGCAGTTAAAACCGAGCTTGGGCATTTGTTTAAAAATAACAGCAACACGGAAAACTATCATTTGCATATTAAGGCTCTATATTTTGTTACAGTGAGATTCAGTACTTTCTGTGCTTCTCACTTCAAGAATCTGATCTGTTACTGACAGATGTCACTTAAGTCTACCACAGAAATATGGTTACTTGAAAAATACTGTGGCTTACACTAACGTGGTTATGATATAGTTTTATATTTTTTCTTCTGCAACTTAATACAGCATGCCCAAAGCAACGTTACACTAAAAGTGAAATCATTACTTATACTTTCACCTGCTTATGTCATGTTTCATTAACTGGCTAATTCCTCTTTCTATGACAGACATTCAACACTAAACTCCTAAATACCAGAGCAACTGACATGGAGCAAAACATCAGCAGTTTTGAATAATTATGGTTTTCTAATCCCATTCTGAACACAGGAACCTTTCACTGTTTTCAACAGTATTAACTAATGGTATTAACTGTACAATTAATCTATGATGGTTTCCTACTCCTGTAGAGGAGCACTCTAATTACTTCTGGTTTTCATACTAACTGATCTTTTAACTTATATGAAACTGATCTTTTAACTTTAAATGTACAAAATCCTTAACTGCACACCGATTGGATGTTTTACAATATTAGGTATTCAGGATATTGTTTTTAAATATTTAACCCATAAATTATGTTCAGACACAAGTAACAGTTACAGTCAAACATTCATTATAAACATGGTTATAATGAGTTAAAAGTCTTATGGTTATAATGAATGTTTGACTTTAACCCAGTGCTTCATGGGTTAAATTAATCCAAATAATGAACCTGAAACCCAGCATCTGGCACAAATTTTACACTAATTTCTAACCCAGTTCTATTATTTAATAATGATTTAAAACTACTTTGTAAACAGTTCAATTTTAAAAGTCTTGAGCAGCCAAACTAACAAAGTTCAGTTGGAATGAAAACCAGAAAAACTGGTAATCCCATACCAAAATTGGGAAACGCAGATCTGTGAAACGTTAATTATTTGAATGTAAAACAAGGACATTCTGGGTTAGAGTAGCACAATTTCACATCAGAAAGACGGTATGCAAGATATTGAGCTAGCTAATTTGTGCAGCCAGATTTTCATTTTATCAATTTCAGGAAATACGAATAATGATTAAGCCTTTCTCGGTAATAAACATCTATACATCTATCAATTAATCACATGTTGAAGGCACCTATTCTTATCTATCGATCCTAGTCTTAAATTTAATTTCCTTTAACGTAAACAGTGGAAAAACTCTCCAGGAAACAGGACTGCAATGTGCAATAGTTAAGCAAAAGGAATTTTGATAATTTGCCCCAAGAACTGAATAAGGAACGGAATTTTCAGGAACTGCTGAAGAATCTGACTTTCTCTTGCCAATACAGAGATGTCATAAAATCTTATGTCTATAAGGGATGATTGACAAGCTCAGTCTGTTTTTAAAGAAAATCTGTCAAGTTCAGTTATTTCTTCTATAGAACGGTTGTCTGTGTTCACATATAATGGATTAAATTAACTTTTCACTTTGTACATATACATCCATTACTGCAGGTTTACTTCCATTCACTCCAACGTTATAGGGAACAGAATGGCAGTTTAACTATTATTCCATGGAATACAAACATCATGTCCTATGATGTTATTCAAACCACATGGATCTCCAAAGAACATTTTGTTGTGGTTTTCAAATTTAAAAAGAAACTACAAAGTCTGCATATTTTTTACTGTTCCTGAACTGTTAGACAGTCTCATTTAAATAAGCTGAAAATAATTTTACCAGTGTAAAACACATAGCAAGGGAGCAAACGTATCCTCATGCAATCCCATGCTCTTCAGTGATTGCTGCAGCAAAGGAGCTGTCCAAAATCGCCTTTTCTAACGCCGTTTTTCCCAGTTCACCTTATTTAGCACCACTCCCAAAAAATCCAAATTTCACGATGTTCTGCAGACTCCAGGAAAAAAAAAAGAGAATGTAACTGTATCTTCCAATGTAATATAATCCTGAAGAGGAACAGCCAACGTACCCAGGTAGATAATCCTAGCCAATGCTGCACAACAGATGCCCAGAAGACCAATCAGACGGCAAAGATGACCAAAAGTGATGAAAATGACCGCAATTACTGGCCTTCAAAAAAAAATCACCAAGCAATGAATTTTAAGTAGGTTATGCTGCCAACAACGGAGAGCAGAATTTAAATCTTCACCTCATTTAGGTGTGAGTCTACACAAACCTGTGGCCAGTTGTCTGGATTTGAAACCACAGGAAGTTAAAAACGGTACCTGCTGGCGACCGATCACAAACTGATAAATGAAGAAACCCAAAGCTCTCCCGAAGAAATAAATTCAGACACTGTTCCGGCTTTTGAAAGCATCGCACTGCTAAAAGGCAAACTGGTGCTTCCGTGTTTGATGGAGCAGCACATTTGTGTTTAGTTTTTTTTTTTTGCAGAGGGTGAAAACTTCTTAAGGAGCCCATGGAACTGGACATTTCACAGAGCTGGACAGTGTGCTTAAGCAGTACATTTCTTCAGCGTCTGTAGGTGGTGTGCTCCTTACACTGCAGACACTTAGGCATGGGGAAACACAAACAGCCAAGGATAAAACATTGATGAGGAAAATCTTTCGCAAGCTGAAATGATAATTTTCGGGGAAACCAAAGGAAGGCTAGGTGGAACCTGAAAGGAAGAACAGAAACCTCCCCCGTTTTCTGGTTTGTGTCTTTAGCTTGACATTTTCATTCTCCTGCAGTGGCACAGTTCATAGGGTCTGTGTGTTTTTAAAGATGACTGTGCAGGCAATCAAGATTAAAAAGTTCTCAATGTGTGTTAATCTCTGTACTGGGGCAACTCCATTTTAAGAGAGTAATATACACAAAGGTGGATGTTTCTGTGATACAGTTGGCATGTCTGTAATATGCCTGTGTACAACCTCGGCCACTTTGGTTGAAAGGATGTGCATATTTGGCTTCTCTTAATTTTCTAGTGTGTAAATGAAAGGTATTCATTTTATTATTTGTAATATCATCCTAGTCATCCAACATTTGCTTAAATTGTACCATCTGCCTGAAAATGTGTACACTTACTTGATGCAGTCCCCGTTTGGGCGCTGCACAGTTTATACATCAAATATTTTTAAAGGTTTTTGGCTTAGTGATGAATCATCTAAAAAAAACAAGACCAAAATATCAAATGGGTATAGCATTGATTCAGTACAGAGGTTTAAACGACTGAAATAGGTTTGTGTGCGTTGACATATATGTCATTGCATCAGTACATGTTCCTCAAACCCTAGCCTCTCAGTTGGTGTCCATGTGTTCATCTCCTGCCTCTGGAGCTCCCCCAAGCGAGGCTGAAGGGGGAGAGTTCAGGGGTGTTTCCTGGTCTCTGCGCTGGTAAAACAAGACATACGCTGCCTTGGTCTGCAGAAAGAGAAAAGACAAGGGAAGGGATAACTGAGCAGTTTCATGCTGGTGAACAACAAATGGCCAGTTGATATACCTTTCCACTTAGAATTAGAAAGCAAAAAGCGAAAAATATGAATGCAAAAAAAATACTCCAGGAGAGCTTTTAAAGGTTCATTAACCTGAAATTAACACTTTAAGGTAATAATAAAGCTATGCAGATTTTCCTCAAGTTAGATATATAATTATAGTTAATCCATCCTTCTATTATCGGTAACCCAGCACCCAGAACCTGAGGCAGCACTAACCATAATACCACTTGTGAAGCTCCGAAACAAGTCACTCACCACGATCTGATCTTCTGTTGCAGATGAGACACTACTATCATCAAAGTAATACCACTGCCCATCCACTTTGTTCTTGGCATAAGCTGTGTCTGTGGGGAGAAGAGAGAAAGATGCAACACTGAGCGAAAAGTTACAGATAAAACAGCCTTTTAATATAGAATTTTGTTGTTTGTGCCTGAGTAACATGAGCCAGACAGCACAAGTACATTAAACCCAACTTCATAATTTTTATCACAGGAGCGCAACAGTTATGAAAACAAGAAAATGAAGCTTTCAACTAGCAGTAGTCCACGATCACTAATTCTGATTTCAATCATTAATTGAAATTTTGATACTTCTGTAATTATTTTCCTTTGTTTGAGTCAGTGGTTAAAGTCCACCTCAAAATGTCCTCCATATCATAAATATAAGCTTATATGCATTCATCTTAAGCATTCATTGGCTATTCCTTGCATGGATTGCTTTCCATGAAACTGAAAGTGTCTAGCAAGACCAATACACAACCTACATTACCCATTGTCCAGGATCCAAGAAGGGGTGGACTTTGGAACTCCACTCTTAACAATACACTAGCATTTGCACTTAGACTGAAAACAAAAAAATCCACAAGAGGGAGAGGGCCAATATACACAAAGATTGTTAGGGACCTGGTATAATTTGGTAAACAAACCAGCCAAATCTCATTATTTATCTTGAAAAGATAAAATAGACCTTTTACGGAGCAAACGACACTGCCGTGGATATGTAACTTTGATTTTGTATGTTATGAAACCATTGTTGATTGTTGGGATCACATGGACAAAATGAAAAGATAATATTTTCTCTGTCTAAAGCAAGTTGTGTGCAATTATATTTCACAATAACTGTTGTCACAATAGTCTGTTGGGAGGCGAACTCTGTGGTAAACAAAATACGTCAGCCAAGGATATTACTATTTTTAAATCAAAATTATATAAACATTTTTAAGAGTTTACACAACAAAGCAGTGAAAGTGGTATTACCAGACTTGGATATCTCTGCTATAGTGGTCTCTTCAGACAGGTCTCACAGAAAACACAAATCTAAACATTTCACCCGAATTTCAAGTGGCTTCTTAATTTTGCCTCTTAATCAAATGTTCTAAGATTTTCAAAGAAGAAAAACTTTTGATCCCTATTTATTCCAAAGCAAATATTCAGATAAACTGTCTGCATTTCCACCTTTAAGTTCCTATTAAGGATTTCTTACATACTCTAAACATATCACCACCATACCTCTCAGGAAACACAGAGAATCTTCCTAGGGGCCAAATCACAATGATAAAGATTGTTTTAACAGACCTAAACAATACGGCTAAATACTTTTAAAGTGCAGCATCTAATAAGCACATTTAAGAGTGAAAATTATTTGTAGGCTTAAACCTGTGTTCAGGCAAATAAATAAAACATTACTCACAGTGCCCTCCACCCATTCCACCATAGTGGTTGGACACAGCAATGAGGTCATAGATATAGGGCCCAGCCTTCGGGTCGCAGACGAACTCTGACATGTTCAGATCGCTGAAATAAAGAACACACCAGTTGAGTCTTTCCTGGGTAACGATTCAAGAAAATCAGTCAAAAACAAATGTCATTTAAAACAGGTTATAAAACTGCATTATTGTTGAAGACTTACAAGAAGAGGCCAAAGGGTTAAGGTAAACCTGATAACAGTACAGTTAGGAGTTTAAATATTTATCTTAATTTATTAACAGTCACATTCATATAAAACTATACCATTTTCAGTACTCATTTATTGCTTTTTTTACAGCCTCCTGGTATATTTTAACTGCATGTCATACTATGCTATCTTGCTCACAGTGTTCTTGTCACATTATATGTCTATTATTTTTTAATGAAGCTCAAACATTTCCACACAATCATGAATCAGCTTCTTGGAAGCCAGTGCCGCTTGCCAAAACACTTTGGCATTTGCTCCTTGTTTGAATGAACTTCCTGGTTTCACTCCAACACTAATGGCGCGCCTGACTGTAAAGATTAAAGTCAGTAATTGCTGTTGCAGGTTTTAGACTAGCACTAATTGTTATTATTGAATTCTGAGATAAACATGAGTGTGAAAAACTGGCCAAAATATGACTAAAAAACAGCCTAACATTTCAATAATTCCTATTCTATGCTGTTTGTTTAATGAGCTAATCATCTTTTTAGCCAAGAAAAGGCCAGGGTAGATGTTAGTGGTCACACACATTAACTGATACCTAATGGTTATTTGCACCATGTAGTTTTAAATACTAGATGACACAGTGGGTGTCAACCGTTATTTTTTGCAGTCTTAGCCATATCGAACTAACCGAAGGTACACATGCATCCTTTTTGTCACTGCTTCTTCTCATTCAGAGTCATACAGGGGCAGTAGGAGCCTATCCCGGCAAGAAACAGGCACAAGGCAGGGTATACCTGGATGGGACACCAGTCCCTTGTAGGGCACACAGACACAAACACACTCATACCAATTTCTCCAGAAGCTATTTACCAACTTGTATGTATCTGGACTGTGTATTTGGGAGGAAACCACAGCAGTGGAAACCCATGTGAACACAGAGAGAACAAACTCCTCACAGACAGCACACCAGACCCAGAACTGAAACCCGTGTCCCAGTTCTGTAAGGCAGCAATGCTAACCACTGTGGCGCCGTGCCACACAGATTTAGCCAATCACATCATATTCCTCTTTTAAATGAAAGGACTATTACCAATCACTCCTGATGCACAGTGTCATCTGGTGTGCAGTTCTAACTGAATCTTCAAGCCATGTAAAGTTCGTAGGGCTGTTAAATATTCTTCCTGTTTAATACAGCTTTAACTCATAAAAAATTAGTTTATTACCTGATTGGGAAGTCTACCACTGTATCCAGCTTATCTCTCCAGCAACGGTTATAAGAGAAACGTTTTAAATGGACTACCAGGATACGTGGTAATGACCACAAGTCAAACTTTTTTGTGGCCTGCTGATGTTTCTTGCAGGTGGGGCAATACCTATGGGGGGGGAAAAAGGGAGAGTTAAAAATATCAGTGTTCAGGACTAGACAACTGAGGTCTGCCAGTTTCGGCGTCCTTGCGTGCTTTGGAGAACCAAGAAAAAAACAAACCTGAAAATAATCTAGCATAATATCAACAGTGGTACAGTTCAGTCAAATATTGTGGTTTGCTTAGTTCCAGCAATGCACCTTCAGGAGAGCAGCAGAAACCTGCTATGTCTACAGGAGGCAATGGTTTGAGTAACAGCTGAAACTATACTAACAGAAATTAAACCACTCCTTTCCCTTCTATTGAAGATGGTTTCAAAACTAAGAGACGGAAATCAATGTCAAAAGCACAGGTACAAAGTAGCTTTTGAAAGACGCAGGAAACCCACTTGCATGCTGCTATGAACTGATTCAGCTCCAGTGTATGTCTTTCAGAACTGGTTGCCCAACTTTTGAGTGTTGCAAAAACAATTTTTACAATGGATCTACTGTTAACTTGCTTATATGCTGTTTATGGAAACTTGTCATGAAAAACTACTTCACTAAAAATTCTCATCATTTACAGACAGACGCGAGATTTAATCTAGGACCGGATGCTCTTACATGAAATTAACAGGGTCTAAAAATAAATGAAACAAACGACAGATGAAGAATAAAGACGATAATCCGGGTTTTTCTTTTCAGATTTATCTGAAAAAAATCTCTTTGGCCATTTTGCCAATCTTAGAGTAGGTTTATTCTGCAATACAGTATGTGGCCAGTGTATTTCTGTCTTCTTTATTTATTGGAAGAAGTGCAAGTGCAGGCTCACCAGGGATCGTGTTCTCCTAGTGTCTCCATGGTGGTGAACAGCTCAATACAGTCTCGCAGGGCCACTGTAGCTTTTTTCCTCTGGTGCTGCAGCATGCTCTCATGTTTTTCATAAGCCTAGGTGTAGAAAAACAACAGATGTTCACCAAAGGGCAACACAGACTAAGTGGAGTGCATATATTTTGGGCTGCTTGTTTTGTTAGCAATCTAGTGATAAGATCAGCTAACGAGAAAAAGAAAAAGCACTGAGAAGCAGTGACTTTGTTATGTTATTGTAACCATGTTCTTAAAAGATACCGCTCTCTCGACTGTTTAATATCAGAGATGTAGCCGAGTTGGGGAAAAAAGCATGGAGCAATCAGGAAAAATGGCCAAAATATACTCAGTTGCATTGCTGATGCATTCCATTTAAAACATCTGCACTGATTGCTAAATTTTCAAAACAAATTCCAAATATAAATTTAAGATCTGAAAATGCACTTGTGTATAGATGTGGAAATCATACCACAGACGCTTTGAAGCACTGACCTCTGCTTCCTGGTCATCATAGTAGAGCTTCTTCATTTCAGAATTCCAGTCAATTGCTACCGTGGAAAATGCTGATACATACAGGATAAATATAAAGATATAAAGTTAAATGTTAAAAAAAATATAAAGATACATTTACAGCTACTTTCATTTAGATATTGTCAAAAATACTTATACCACAAATTCACTGTTCACAATAAAGTGTTAACAGCGAGTCTTCAAAGTACTTATAGCTCATTGATTATTTATCACATTAAACGGCTCATTTAACCCCACATATCTTTACTAATGAAGCTCAATTATACTGTGGTCTAGGGTTTATTCTTCTTAGTTCCAAAGTCCATGGATAGTATAACTGAAACCTGCAAGCTGCTGAAACTATGCCCTAGCAAAAGCTTATAAAGGTGTTGGAAGTGTGCAGTTATTTTCTTTACATTGAATATCTGGATACTCACCCTTAAGTTTGAGGATGTTGCTCTCATTGGTAACAGGACTGATGTCAGCTGTTCCATATGAATTCACCATTGTGAAAGAGAAAAGCTTTGGCTGACAGGTCGTTGACTTGACAGAGGATTTTGGTGCATTATCGACTGGCCCATTCTCTAGGTCTTCGCTGTCCTCGTCTCCCACTGAGCCCTCTGACTGACTGTTGTCTGGTTCCAGGCTGATCTCCTCCTGGTGATCCATTGCTTCATCCTCCCCTGCCACACACAGCCAGACTGTTAGCCCCAGTAACACTCATGTCAACATCTAGTGAAGGAGCTACTGCCCTTTTCAGTATTCTACAGATTTTAGAATTCCTGAAGGTCAAGACCAGCCTGAACCCCCAATCAAAATTAATAGTGGGTAGGGATTATTTTAAAATCTAAAATGGTAATGCTGCAACTTTCATCGAAAGCACAGCTTTCCAAAACACAAAAACACTGAGCCATCAAGTCGCTAAAAAAATCTCAATAACTTTTAACACAGAAGTATATCCAATATGATATATTGACAACGTACAGACAAATACAAAATATAAGATACACAGCAAAAAGATTAAAAAATACAAATTATTCTATTCGTTCTTGTCTCATCTATTTGTAAAACAACTGTTACTGAAGTGAGATACATAAAATGAAGCACCACTGGGGGAGAACCTTACCTTCACAAACCCCATTTGAGTTATTGCTATTGCAGGTCCCTGGCTGGTGTTTGGCATTCTGGCAGTTGCTCGTGACCATGCCCGCTGTACCTGCACTGCAGGATGCCTCCTCCAAGGACTGGCACACACTTGCGCCCATCTCAGTGTTGAGACTGCGACCCCCTGCCATCTCGGCAGCTTGACTGCTGCTGCAGCTGGAACTGCTACTACAGGTAGCCGATACTTTCCCCTCACATCCTGCACCCTGCGGCCTCTTCACATATCGCCTGAAACAACAGCACACTTATCACCTGACACAGGATCTTGAACTACTTTAAGATGAAACATCTTTAGCACCTGTAAAAAGAAGCTGCGATACACAAGACATCTCCTGACAGCAATCATATAATTATTAAGGATGACAGTTTTTCTTCACATGTTCAGACATATTACCCCGAGCTGGGCTTATAAGTTTAACGCTGCTATGTCCACGCACACGAGCACACACTTACCCAATGCGCTCCAACACTTTTTCGTACAGGAAGTCGACGGCCAGGTTTTGCCGGGGAACAGTGATAATCAGAGGCTGTCCAAACAGTACCGTACTTGTGGAAGTACCCGCATGCTTAACGTGCCGCTCCCTGAAGTAAATGGGCAGGCTGATTCGCTCCCCATCTTCCTCTTCCACCTCATACCTGTCAAGAGACAGAGCGAGTCATGAAGATCCCCACCCAACAGGAGACAAACTACCCTCTTCACAGAGGAAGGATTCTGGCAAAACTTCCATCTGGAACTCAGAACTTTAGTTTTACTTAGGTTTCCTAACATATAACACTAAGGACATGACCTTAGCTTTAAAATAAAAAGGACAACAGAAAATGGGTCTAACTCTAGAGAGTATTTGCTTCTCATAAATAATCTCAAACTTTTCTTAAATAAATTATCAGAACAATTACACACACAAAGATGTCGTCCTTGTCCATGATGTGATTGAGTCCATCGTCCCGCCGGTAGATCTTATGAAACCGATGATTGTACACGTCTGCCACCAGCATCTGAAACAACGGCAGAAAGTTTGAATGTAATAATTAACCAGACATCTTCTGAAAGAAGAATTCAATCCTCAACTGTGCCTTTCAGTGCAGCGTTGTCTTCAGGACCAAAAAACTCCATACTTATTTCATAAGGTATAATACACTACATGGGAATCAGAAAAAAGACATAAGCAATGTGTATTCTATTGAAAAACACAAGGCTATATCAACACAAAGGGGTGAAGTGTTTTATTAAAAGATTTGAAAACATTTGATGTATAATTGTAAAAACCTTCAATACTAAACAAAAAAATTAAGAATGATGGGAAGTTATAATTAATTTTTTAATTAATTTGCTGCATAATATAAAAGATAGAGATTAGAAGAAATTATTTAAAAATGTTTTTGAGCTGTGTTTACACAGTATGATATATCACAAACACTTTCAACTGTGCTAGACTAGAGAGTACATCTAAGGGCAATTCTTCCAAATTGTAGTCTTCAGATACGCAGTTCTGCACATATACAATATCTGTTTCCCCACTTTCTCAAATTTCACTTGTAAAACAGCTTCGGTTTCAGAGGTTGAAAAAGGAGCTCTCCTAGCACAAACAGTACACACAACAGATGTCCTCTAATTCATAAGGTTCTGGTCATGCCAAGCGTAGGAAATATCTCTTACAGAGTACAATTAATCACAAACATAAGAAACATACAAAATTTTTCAGCACAAAATTATGTTTTCATTACTTATTATCAGCATCTAGAGAAGATTACACTGGCATTTGCATGCAGCTTTCTTTTTTTGCTGTGAAGAAGATTGTATTAAGTTAATTGAAATTGAGAGGTCACTGTAGACGGTGTTTTATTTATTTTGAAAACTGGTACAGACAGTGGTTAAAGTTGGTTTATAGTTTGCAGAAACATCACTGCCTGTAGTTGTAATTAAAGGTCAGAAATTATAGATAATTATACAGTTGTACAATGCAAACAACATTCCTGAAGGGTTTGTTATAGATAGTGGTTTGACTGCACGTGTTAAATGCATGCAGTATTTATACCAAAGTCAATACAAGCACTTAACATCAATAAAAGGGTATATATTTAATGGCACATTTTGATATGAGGTCTCTAAAAACATTATATATAAGGTACAGGTTATATGCCAGGTATATTTAAAGTAAGTTCAAATGTGACCATATATACAGCATAAATAAAACCTGCAAGTAAAGGTAGAAACTTCTGTTCATAATTTAATATTATGATTTGAAATCTGTTCAGATTTGTGTGGGAAATCTGTATTAAATATTTAATATGGACACCTGCTGCATTTTTCCCCAGCTAAAAAAAATCTATTTGTGCTGTTTACACCAAACAATACTAGTTCAAGTAAGCTAAATATGACACCTTATACAGTATTTCATAGCATTCTCTGCAGGAGTAGTAAAAGGCTGTTCTTACATTCTCTGCTGTGACACCGGAGAGCTTAGACAATGAGCTGCACAGATCTGCCACAGTACCCAGCTTGGGGACCACTACCCTGTACTGGAATAGAAAGACAGCAGTCTAAGTAAGACACAAGAAGTACTTCATTGGACATTTAGCTTATTCACTACACAAACACCAGCTTTCCCTTGCATCATGCCCCTCTATAAGGGGCACACAATGCAGACATGGATTAAAATAATCATCACCAAGTAAAAAAAACACAGATGATTACATTTTTGCACACTGTACAATCACAAATATCAATACTTGCAGTAACAATAATCTTACTAAAAACCAGCCATGTTATAAAATGAAAAATCAAATGTTTTTACATGTTTAATACAGTAACTGTATTTAACCATGTGCAAACCACCACAAATGGCAAAGGGACACAGTTCTTCATGCTTCCTAAAGACAAAGTAGCTGCTACCAACTAAATGACCAAGGAAAGCTCCATTTGTAAAACTGAGGGACTAATTTGCAATGATAACTGATCATATGATTAAACATTTTTTTCCACAAGTCGCCCTTTAAACAGCCTTCTTTGGAAATGCATTGATAACAGGTTAAAATTTCCTGTAAAAAAACAAATGCTAAAATATACTCAAAGAACATTTTTTCCATCAAAAGGATACTCTTCCACGGTATACAAAATGCCTCAGATAACAGTAATACCTCCACGAACGAAGTTTGCATTAATGGGAAAAACTAACATCTATGAGGCTTGTGTAATGTAAGGTAGTGGAATCTCAGTTTTATATTGTTCTTTGAATAACATGTAGAGGTTAGAAAAAATCAAGAAGGCCTCATGAATGCTTGTTTCCTCTAAATGTGTATGGATAAAAAAAAACATTTTCCATCACAATTGCTCCTTTACCTGCATAGGGCGGGACTGGGGGTCTGTGCGGACCAGAAACACCTCCATGGTCCGGTCCTTTTTCATTGGCAAGGGCAGGGTGAGGTAGCAAAAGGGGTCAAAGGTGACCGAGACCTTCGAGCACTCTGGGCACACCAAGGTGGATTTGAATAGGCCGTGGAAGATGTCTACAATGATGGAGTCATTTCGGAGACGATGGTTTGTCCAGGCTTCCTTCGCTACAATCTATCAACAAAACAAAGTTAAACCCTTTTCACATCTGTTCCCCTTCCAGCATGACATGAGTGAAAGGTTTACTCAACAAAAAAATGATTTTGTGGAAAGAAAATAAACATACCGAGAGGCATTAAAATGACAACAAACAAGTGCTGGAACCAGCAGCATCTGCTGCATGTTTTATGGCTGCTGGTATATAATGAAACCAGGGTGCAGTATCCAAACATTATGTTTTCAAATCTCTAAATCAGAACAATGCTGAGTTTCTTAGCTTTTCTTTGATGACAATACCACTGGCAAAACTTTAAAGGAGTACTCAATTTAAAATTTACTTTTAAATACATTTTACAAAGCTCTTTTTCCACACAACAACTGCAAGGCTGGCTGAGTAACATGAGGTGACACACACATTTCACGAATGGAGCTGTTGAACAGCCCAGTGTACACAGACAAGACCCCGTGGTGCCGTGTACCTCGTCTTGCCTGCCCTCCGCATCTCTCAGCACCAGGTAAGGCTTCTTCTTGACACGGTTGAGGTCCTCGTGGAGCCCGTCCAGCAGGAAGGCCAGAAGCTCCTGCGAGTCCTGCTGCTGGTACCCTGAGAACTGCGGGGCGAAGCGGCCTACCTGGGTCTTATGAGGAGATAAGAGAGAAAGAGTGCATGCTGTATATTAATAATTAAACATTGCTTACACTTCTATAGCGCTTTTCTGGACACTCCACTCAAAGCGCTTTGCAGTAATGGGGCTTCTCCTCCACCACCACCAATGTGCAGCATCCACCTGGATGATGCGACGGCAGCCATAGTGCACCAGAACGCTCACCACACATCAGCTATTAGTGGGGAGGAGAGCAGAGTAATGAAGCCAATTCATAGATGGGGATTATTAGGAGGCCATGATTGGTAAGGGGCAATGGGAAATGCCCTAGGATTTTTAATGACCACGGACCTTAGTTATACGTCTCATCCGAAGGACGGCACCTGTTTACAGTATAGCGTCCCTGTCACTATACTGCGGCATTAGGACCCACACAGACTGCAGCGTGAGCGTCACCTGCTGGCCCC